TGGCTATCCGAGTACAGAAGCAGAGTACAAAACTAATCCAACTGTAGAGATGTGTAAGACAGGGTGACGTAATATTTCCGAAATACTTTACTGCATTGGAAGACGTTTTCAAGCTACTGGACTGGAAAGGATACGGTATTAACGTCAATGGCGTGTACGTCACTCACCTTTGATTTGCCGACAATATAGTCTTTATGGCAGAATCGCTGGAAGACCTACGCACTATGTTCAATGACCTCAATAGTGTCTCCCAACTGATAGGCCTTAAGTGAACATGGACAAAACAAAAGCCATGTGTAATGTCCATGTCACACCTTTGCCGGTAGTTTTTGGGAGCACTTAGCTGAAGTTGTTGACGAGTATTTTTACATGGGACAAATAGTCCGAATAGGTACGTTCAATTTCGACCGACAGGTCAATCGACAGATTCAACTCGGCTGGGCAGCGTTCGGGAGATTGCAACACATTTTCTCATCAGGAATACCTGAAAACTAGATTGTACAACCAGTGCGTGTTGCCAGTGATGACCTATGGATCTGAGACGAGGTATTTCACTGCTGGCCATATGAGGAAGCTCGAAGTCGCTCAGCGAGCTATGAAGAGGGCTATGCTCGGGGGTTTAAACTTAGGAATGAGGATATCTGCAGCAGAACCAGAGTGACCGACATCGACCAACGCATTAGTAAGCTGAAGTGGCAATTGACCGGTCATATAGCTAGAAGAACCGAATACTGATGGCGAAAAAAGGTTCTCGAGTGGCAGGCCCGTACCGGCAGGTGAAGTGTAGGACGTTCCCCCACTAGATGGAGTCAAAACCTGGTAAGACACGCAGGAAGTTGATGGATGCAGTTAGCTCAGGAGCGTGCTTTGTGGCGTTGCTTGGGGGAGGCCTATGTTCATCAGTGGACTTGTGAAGGGTTTTAATGATGATGAATAATAATAGGTAGGGTATAGAATTTTTATCGATATAATTTGGTACACTGTCTTATCCCTATTATTAGTTCCGTGGACGTGCACTTCTGCTGTCAGCGCCAAAATGGCGGAAATCAAATCGCTTCATCATGTCACGGTGTATAGCCAGTCCAGCGTACTTGTATATATAGAGGTCAGTGGACCACGTGTAATTATACTTTAACAGAGGCGAAAGTCTGCGTGTAGCTACTCACCTCCGATCCGCCGGTGGCTCTATGGCTTAAAAAGATTTATTAAATAAATAAAATAAATGAAGTTTAGAAACAATGCAATTGTAAAATTGTGTAAAATCATAAAAAAATTTTTAGAACTAGAATGTTTGCTTCGCAATAAGTACGGCCGGAAAAGAGAGGTCTTAATAAGGCACGCTGTCCCCATAATTTAAAATAATTACGAAGAAAATACTAGCTATATGTTTTACCTAAGTGTGAAACAAGGAGTGCTATGAATTTAGCAATCTATATGTATGTGTGTATAAATTTGTTTGTAGGTTCCATGCGTAGACAGAGAAACCTATCTCTGTCTACGGTTTCATGATAACTCCAATGACTCCAAGTAAGGCGAATGATGCGTACTATGCATAGAGTAGTAGAGAAAACATAAACTCACAAATTCATACCTAGTTGTATGGAGTGTAGAGGTAAGGAGTACAGACTCTCTATGAAAAAAGTGTCCGTAGGAAAGTGCTAAATAAGGTTCTCATAAATGAGGTGTTCTCATCATTCCGCGTGTGATACGATATATACCTTATCTCTAGTATAAAGCTGGAGTTTATACTAAATTTATGATAGATACCATTCCACTCCAACATTATTTACATTACCATAGAGCAGAGCATAGCAACCATAGATTTAGTATAAACTCCAACTATATCTATGATAGTATCTGTCCACGGTATGAAGGTTAGAAAACAGGAGAACGATCACCGTAGAAAATAGTGTCCCAGAAATATGGACACCTTAAGTGAGGCACTGCGATCGCTAAGTTCGGTCAATAAAAGTCGTTTTCAGTCTATTTTTCCGATCAGATGCTAAACCACTTGCACATCCACGCACAATAGAATATTTCTCCATTTTTTATTGTTTCTTTTTGTCAAAAATTACAACATTACGGAGCATGAAAATTTTCTCACCAATACCGCGCAGAAAATTTGAACATTATTCAACTAACTTCATCTACTTGTACTCATAAACAGCTAACTTCGCAGTCACTACTCACCGACGTCAGTGCCGCTATAAATTCTGCAATTTTCAAGAACAGGCGGGCTATGCTTTAGTACGTAGTGTTCGTTCTCCTGTTCTCTAACCTTCATGGTCCACGAAGTAGTCCTGTGGGTCATGGAGGTTAGAGAGAAGGACAACGATCGCTACGTGCTAAAGCATAGCCCGCCTGTCCCTGAATGCCGTCGGTAAGTAGTATCTGCGAAGCTAGTTGTTTATGAGTATAAGTAGATGAAGTTAGTTGAATAATGTACAAATTTTCTTCGCGGCATTGGTGAGAAAATAATCGTGTTCCGTAATTTTTTAATTTTTGACAAAAAAGAAACATTAAAAAATGGTGAAATATTGTATTGTGTGTGAATGTGCAAGTGGTTTAGCATCTGATCGGAAAAATAGAACGAAAATGACTTTTATTGAGACAACTTAGCGGTCGCAGTGCCTCACTTATTTTGTCCATATTTCTGGGACACTATTTTCTACAGCGATCGTTCTCCTTCTCTAGAGAACAGGAGAACGATCGCTGTAGAAAATAGTATCCCAGAAATATGGATAAAATAAGTGAGGCACTGCGACCGCTAAGTTGTCTCAATAAGAGCGGGCTATTGTGCGCTAGTTTGAAATGATTATAATATCATTCAAAGAAAAATAAAGAAAGCAACGAAATTATTATTATTTATGAATAAATAAGTTATAAATTATTTTTTATTAATTTTAATTATTGTAAATATTGTAAATTATTAATTATTATAGATTTATTTATTTTTTTAATAATATTTCACCATTTTATAATGTTTCTTTTTGGCAATAATTAAAAAATTACTTCGCAGATTCTTCACTAGGTACTGACCGACGGCAGCGTGACTATAAATTCTACAAATTTTCAGGGACAGGCGGGCTCCTGTTCTCTAGCCTTCATGCTGTGAACATGGCGTATAGAGGTAAGGAGGACAATCTCCCATAGAAAAATAATTGAAAATGTGTCCATCCGTTAGCAATAAATAAGAGTTCAAAAAATCTCTATAACAGCGTTCGAGTAGCTACAGGGAATGATAAATCGCCGTAAAATACGTTGAGAGTGATTTTGAAAATAAAAATTTTGAAAGCAATAAAATAATTATTGTAAAAAAAATATGGTGAGTCTGTGGACTAAAAAAATGACAAAAAGTTCTTTAAAATTTAGACTGTAGCGCTTTATAAAGTTGCGCTACCCTTATTTAGCGCTTTCCTACGGACACTTTTTTATACAGAGTCCGTACTCCTTACCTCTACACTCCATAGCTGTGGTAAAAACGTAGACAGAGAAACCTTTAGACAAATGATTAGCGTGGCCTCGAGTGAGAAAGGATGATAACGTTGACAAAGAAATTCTCTGTCTACGGTTTTAAGTTATACAATAATCTTTATGAGTTTTGAATATATTTAGATAAAATTTAAACGTATATTTATAAAATTCTGTAACGAAATTTAAAATAACAATTGAATTTTATACGTAATACCAGATAAAATGTACTATATTTACGAGTGAAATGATATAAGGGTGAGTTTACGTTCACTATCACGTTTACATCCTAAGACACTACATCTAACCATTTTAAAGTTTTTAATTGTTCTAAGAACCGAACTTAACAAGATTCACCAATCTTAAGCTCACAAAACACTTTTTTCTCTCTTAAACCAAATTGTAAACTCCTTAGCTCCCTACGAACTGTCAAAGTTGTTTAGAAAAATGTAGTTTGCTAAACAAAAAAACCGCCACGGAGGAAGAGACAATCACACCGCTCTGTCTCATTTCTATACATACATCTATATTTTTCGTGTGCGAATGCGAAAGAAGGCGTCAATTTGTCTATAGGTTTCTCTGTCTACGGTCTATGGGTAAAACTAAGACCAAAGAGAATATAATCATTATAAGTTTTAATTAAAATATCTGTTGTCACCTAATATTTTTTGTCTATGTTGGTATATAACCCTACCAATTTAAAATGTATATTAGCATGGATCATTTCGAATGGTTTTAGTGTAATTTTAAATTAAACATATATTCTATACATACACGATTCAACATACAAATAAAAATGGTGGTTCAATTTCACTAAACAATTTTTAAATTGAAATTGATTGCAGATATTATTGAATGTGTAAAAAGTAATAAACATTTTAATCACAATTAATTCTGTATATGTATATTTGGTGCGGTACGTGGTGTGAAAACGGGAGTTGTGTATGACAAATAACAGGTTGTTTAAAGACACCGAAGTCGCTTTAAATCCTGTATGATAATCGAGTGTTGTTTTTTGGAGCCCAGTGCAACGTTTCTTTATGTAACAAAGGAATTTCATCACTAAGATTTGTGTTTAAGCAATAAAACAAGGATTACTATAATAGCTGTCTATTTTGAAGCGATCAAGCTTGGTGACTTCTATTCATTCAGCATGTGACCCACATCTGAGATTTCTCTTCGTTATTTTTCAAAACAAGAGTAATATAAAAAACCGCATAAGCTGTTAAACAGTAGCTGTGAATAAGGATTCTTCAGCAGACATGACATTTTTTTATGTTGTCACGGATGAATACAAACCGCAGATCTTTCAGGGGGTCAGACTAATTTTGCAGCATTTATAAAATATAAACGTACGTTTACTTAAAAGCTTTTATTTTGATGTATATACAACAATAAGTTCCAGTGTTTTTTGATTGCAATGTGTCGGTTTGCAAAGAATGGATACTAAAGAGAGCTTTTTAAAAAATGGCATTAAAACGTCAATACAATAAAAGTCCTAATTATCGGGAGTAGAGCAATGGTACAGGATGGCTCATGCTGAAAATCACAGATATATTGTGCAGGTTGGCTCAAACTTTTTCTTATTGTAACATTTTATTTAAAAGATCTATAATATACAATAAGCAAATATGAAGTATGTATCGTTTTTAATTTAACAGAATATTACATATTTTTATTTATACCTTTTTTAATAACTACTGTGTTAAAGATCTACATGTCTGACATACTAATAATTGAATTTTTCAACCATTGTTGATTAAAAGCAACTTATAAAATAATATAAAGAATCTTAAAAGTTGATGGTAATGTAATGATTAATAAAAATATAACAGGTGTTTGTGGGAGCGTTGTCTGCACAATATGAGGCTCTATCAGTTGAAGCTTCAAAGCAGACAAGCTCAGAGGAAATTGTGTGCTGTATTGCTGACAAACTCAACTTGACTGATGGATCTGGAGGGCCTTATGAACTGGCCGAGGTTGGTTTTAACAAACTTGTATTTACTACTTGCATAACTATCAGAGGTTATAAGTAGATAAGATATCTGTAAACATTCTTAAACTAGGTTACTTTGTTTACATGAGTAAATTATATAAACATTTAAGGATAATAGTAAAAAACATTATCAATTTGAAGGTTGTCCATGCATTAGAATTTATTAGAATTAGAATCCATTATCATATTTCAAAAATTGTGAAACCTAAACATATACAAGTAGTGAGTAATTCCCATCACTATGTATAGTAAGTATGCGATTACTGATTCTGATAAATAATAATAAATTATTAGGAAGTACCTCTTTTTTCTAGAAGTCTATCTAAGTAGTTTCCATCTATCCTTTTATTGATTTCTACCTCCAATCTGCAGTGCATCCACTACTGTGTTGTTTCTACTGTCTGAAAGGTATTGTGAGTAAATATAATTGTATTACTTAACTAATTATACAATTGTTAATTTCATCCATAGAAATAGCTGTAAAGAGTTTCTTGTTAGTTAAATGGTAGTTTCTCTGCATTTCAATGATGTGCCCTTAGGATAAACTATATAGTTTTATTCCCGGTGAATCTATAGTAATATATAAATTATTTTGCATGTTGTGTATGTATATTTTATTTATATTTGCAATTTTTTATCAGACTCAGAGGAAAAAGAATAGTATTATTATTATTATCTAACTGCTTCAGATGGAGTATTTATTCTGTGTGGGGTGTGACTGGGTATTGATTGATTGAGCAGGTCTGGTATTCACAACTCCAAGTCTTACTGCATATTTTGCATGTGGACAGAAGTTAAATACTATTCAAGCTACCCGAGTCTCTCAAGGCATCTTAATAAGTTATTTATGTTACCAATGACCTTGGGAATCCAAGGTACTTACCTCTGAAACTGGCAACTGCTAGACAATCAATGGGCAGTTTTTTCTTCATGCCCATCAAAAGGCTGTCTGCACCACCAAAAGTAAAGAGATGTTTTTCTCTGCTCTAAAGAAAATATGATCTGTTATGGCACTTTTTACTAGTCTATTTTGAATTTTGTTTAGTATGAGTGGTCTTTTGGAAACAATGGAGCTAGTTGTAGGTAGAGCTAGCCTCCTTATTCTGCTTACATTCGGTGTGATTTATCTAGAATTGTGTATGTTGAAACTTGGAACGATTTCATACTGCTGTCATTGTTCCAGAGACTTTAATACCGCTAAGCCATCGGAAAAACTGTTAATTGAATGATTTATCATTTTATTTTTTGCTTCCTGCTGCAATTGCTGGCACCACCTGTATTTTTCCTAATCATTTGGCCTGGTGAGCAGTATCATGGATTCCTAGCGGTGGTTTTATATGGATTTTGTAAGTCTTGAGAAGGTTCCAGGACCAGGACCTAACTTACTTTTAGATACATCGGTGCATAATTTGAGCTCATGGGAGCATTAGTTTTCAGGTGGTAGAGGTTGCTAAAATTGAATTTTTTACTTTTTATCAGACACAACCTGTTTTAAAATTCTGTCACTCTTGGCTTGCAGGTATGGTATTTCCTCTTAATTTTGTCCAAGATGTTAGTGTGTGTAGTTCTGCTATCGTTCCAAAGTCTTAAAATGTTTATTCTCAGGATTGGTTCTTGTTTAATAAATAAGTTAAGGGGAATGAGGTCCAGCATGGCTTCTAGCACCATAGTGGGTGTAGTTTTTATGCAGCATTTAATAATCATACTGGCGCTGAATCTTTGGCATAGTTGAAATTTATTGCTTACAGTGTCCATCTTGGTTCTGCCACCATATCAGTGTGTCATAAGCTATAGGGCTATGATATAGGTCAGATAACCATTTTGTACTGCCACAGGACTATTTTTGAGCTTTTAACTACCATCTGTAGCAATAGTGTATCATATAGTATAATTCAATGGTTCCTTGTCAATATTGTATTCAAATTATGATTTTTCTTACTTACTTATCTTCACACACAATCCCTAACGGGGTAGCCAGAGAGAACAGATCGCCAAGTGTCACGATCCTTACATACCTCTTTCGCTTCTTTCAGGTTCATTAACTTCTTTATACATGCACGTCTAGGTATCCGAGTACTCTTGACCTTCCCCTCTTCGAGCAATTTGCTCACATGGTCTTCGAAAGTTAGTCTCGGTCTACCTCGACACCTTTTAATATTTACTTTCGCTCTATATATTTTCTTCACTATTCGGTCTTCACTCATTCGCTCAACATGCCCAAACCATTGGGGTATGCCCCTATCAATTTTTGTGATAAGGTCATCTTTCAATCCTGCCATATTGCGAATCTCTTCATTTCGCTTTCGATCGGCTATGATTTTTCTAGTTGTATAAAATAGTTCCCAGGTCTACTACTTTATCTTTACTGACAACTGTAATGGTGTACTGAATAATGTAATCTTATTGGTTTAATGATGGAGCCATTTTATCTTAAAAAGAAGATGAAAGAGTATAATTTAAGCAAATGTCAACTGTGTTCAGCACATGTTTATGAGTAAACATAATTAGTTCCGTGTTATTAGAGTTTATCATTGGTCATAGTCCCTACATAATTTCTCAACTACTTGAAGAGCCGCTTGTGCATGGTCACAAGCCATACTAGCAGTTAGAGTTTAATATTTATTAATAGAACCTGCGAAAAAAAGGGATTAAAAATATTTTGACAATGTTATAAATATATGATAACAGTATGGGTATCAAATGAGAACTAACTAGTTAATTTTAAATATAATATTATGTAACATCTTTTATTATAGTTAGTTTAAAAAAAGACCACAATATAGCTGCAAAAAAGCTCTACTATGCTGCAGCTGTATAATGGTTGTTGCACTAACTTGGGCTTACTCTACTGAGGAGGACCAAGCTCTATCAGTATTCTAGCGAAAATAGCAGCTAAACACTGCAGTGTTTCCAACAGGAGAAATTCCATCTTATTCCTCAGGGGTGACAATGCATCTGCAATTGAATTCTTAATCGAGAGTAGATGTAGATGCCACAGTATCCACTTACCATCAGGTGAACTGTGTGCTCGCTTGTCACAGTTTTATATAGAAACAAATATGGGGAGATATTGTGATTAAATCTATCCTATGTTCAGCAGATGATACTATATTGTTGTAATTCTCATATTATGATTTATACACTATGAAGAATACATTTTCAAGTAATAATAACTATGTATTTAAGTTAATAAGTTTGAGAAGGAACAATAGCATTAGTCACTACTGTTATTGAACATTACCTTTTTTCATGTAGATAAGTGACTTCTACAAGTTGTGTTTTATCAGTTTGGCAGTTGCAGTTAACTTTTGTTCTTGTAATGTGTCAGTATTGAATAAACAAAGTTATTTTTTAACAAACTTATCAAACTCTGGCTAATAGGTACTTTTTGTTAAATCCAAGTTCTGAATGTAATTTTTTTTATTTTTACCAACCAACTATAAAGTTATAGTCCAACTATAAAATATATTTGGCTGGTAAAGATACAAAATTAATTCATCTTGTTTTATCGTTATCCTGAAACTATTTATTCTTATGACATATTGTTATTTATTTATAATATAAAACAATAATATATAATAAAAATAATAATATGGTTATTTATAAATGTTTAAAATATTGCCTGTTTTTATCATGACTGACATTTATTTTTTGTAAGTCTTTTTTAAAAGGTGGTAAAACATGTTTTGGTTACTCATAATTTAAAAGTAAATACTATATGTGTTATTATTTATTATCATCATATTTTAGTTATAATAACAAGGTTTGACACTTCTAAATATTTGACACTACATTATGTTTCCATTGTTTTTTTTTAAATATTTAAAACCGAAATGGCAAAGGAATTTCCATTCTCCTGATGGAATGGCTACTGAAGTCCATGAACACCAGTGCATGTTGTGGTTTTGACTTATCATTAAGTAGACTGTGTGCTCACAATAATTCTGATAAAAAATATGTGTTTTAATAATTAGTCCTCTTTATATTAATTTGAGGCCTATTTTCAGGTCTTGACTTGTGGATGAGCTGTAATGATATTAATTGGTTTATTGTGTTATTTATTGTACTTTATTTCATGAGTGTTTGCTTTAATATCACATTATTTAGAAATAAAATGCTCAGGTGGTTGGTGATACTGTGAGTGGTGAATGCAAGGAAAGGCGGCTTGGTCCCAATGAGTCCCCGGTCGCTGTAATGTTGCTATGGCCTAACAACAACACCGACCAGTACTACAGGTATTTAAATTGCAATTATAATATGTTTTCACAACACAATAAATTTATTTATTTGACTGCCTTGTTGGTCTAGTCGTTGTAGTAGTGCGACTGCTGATCATGAGGTCCTGGGTTTGAATCCCGGGTCGGACCAAAAAATTAATTATTGAGTTTTTCCGTCAAGAAATTCTCAGTAGTTGCCCGGAGTCAGGAAGTTAGCGGTGTCTCACCCCCGTGCCTCGGAAAGCACGGAAAGCCGTTGCTGCGCCTGATCTCTCTCCGGTTGTGTCGGTTTACCGTCCCATCAGATTATGAGAGTGAAGGAATAGAGAGTGCACCTGTGTTTACGCGTACACTTGGGCACTATAATCATGTCCTGCGCCGATGGCTAGTCTCCGTTGAGGCAGGCCGCCGTGACCGAAATTCGACCTGGAGGACATTATTATTATTTATTAAGTAACAAATACTTCAACATCAACATCAAATAAAGCATGTCTATTTTAAATATTTATTTTGTTATTTTTAAAGATATGTATGTATTGAGAAATCAGTTAATAACCTAATAAAGTTGTCTTTAAGTCTCAATGACAAACATATTGTAATACAATAATATATAAAATGAATAAATTTGATATTGTGTTAAAGTATTAAATTGCCTGCTATTGCAATGTTATTTATATATATATCAGTACTCTCAATGCTACTATGATTCATTAAATCATTTACCTCTCATAATTATGGAAATGGAAATTTGTTTCCTTATGTGTTTTGAATGTACTTGAATAAGTAGACTAGAGTGTGGATAATTACTGTTCTATATGTATTCAGATATCTACATTAATTTCAATTAGTTTTTGCGGCTTCGAATTTAATGCATATAAGTGATTATTTATGGCAAAGTGCTGTGCTTGGGTTGCACAGAGCTTGTGCGTGTGACTCATTCTTCCTGCCGCCGCAGCGTGCGGTGATAACAGTCATCCTGCCAATCAAATTAAAATTTTGTTGCACGCATTAAACAACTAAAAATACCCCGCCATTTGTTGACATTTACTTTTTGATGGTTTTAAATATTTAAATGTAATTTATTTTTAGATTTATTGCTTACCTCTTATATGTACAAACTTTGCTGAAATTTTGTTGTGTTAACAGGTTCTATCTACGCGAGAAAATACCAGATGAGCCATGGATGGAGAAGTTCTCAGTAGATCCACAGCTGATAAAAGATTACTTTCAGCGGTTCTTGTACCAACCAAAGGACCGAGAATATCCTGATTTATGTCAGTTGCCTGAACTAAACGAACAGACGTTGCTTGATAACCTGAGGGCGAGATTTGCAGCGGGATACATTTACACATATGTGGGGTCTATTTTGATAGCAGTGAATCCATTTAAATTGTATCCAATTTACAATCCGAAATATGTGAAGTTATACCAGAATAAGCGGATAGGGTCTAGCCTACCGCCTCACATATTCGCCGTTGCCGATGCTGCATATCATACTATGTTGCGCGAGAGGACAAATCAGTGCATAGTGATCAGTGGTGAAAGTGGATCAGGCAAGACTGAAAGTACAAATTTTCTCCTTCATCATCTTACTGCACTCAGCCAAAAAGGATCACATGGCAGTGGAGTTGAGCAAACAATATTGAGTGCAGGGCCAGTTCTAGAAGCTTTCGGAAATGCAAAAACCCCTCACAATAACAACTCAAGTCGCTTTGGAAAGTTCATTCAAGTTAATTATAAGGAAAATGGAATGGTTCATGGTGCAGTGGTTCAAAAATATCTTCTGGAGAAATCCAGAATTTGTAGTCAAGGTCGTAATGAGAGAAACTATCATGTGTTTTACTATTTGTTGGCCGGTGCATCAGAGCAGGAGAGAGAACAGTTACATCTCCTCACTGTGGACAAGTACAATTACCTTTCAAAGACTGGTTGTAGTGTGGTGCCTGGTGTTGATGAACAATATGAGTTTTCAAGGTTGAAACAATCTATGGACATGGTGGGCTTTACATTAGACAAACAGCGTAGACTGTTTGCAGTTTTGTCAGCTGTGCTTCTCTTAGGTAAGTTTATCTTGTGTTTCTTAAGCGATTCAAAAATATTTACAACTTCACAATGTCCTTACAAAAAATTACATTTATAATCTTAACTGAATGTTATAATTATAACTAAATGTGTATATATGTCAGTAATACTGACAAAAATTCTTATCTCAAATGTGTCACCTAAAGATAAAATGCTTCTATATGTGCCAGTTTATTGACCCTCTTTTTGTTTTAACAATTAAATTATGGAATTATAACTCATTTTATTGTTTATGTAGTAATGATCCAACCATACATTTTTTTTAAATAAAAAAACTGTAATTTGAAATTAAAGGATGAATTCGATTTTCAACATAAGAAATAAAAAATACATAAATGTATTACTATAATTTCCATTTTTATCTAAGTAGAATATTTAAGAATGAATAAATTAAAATTAAATAATAGAATAATAAGCCAAACTTTTATAATAACAGGACAATGATAACTTATTAAGATACATCAGTGAGTAAGAATCATAAAACTTTTATTAAATATGGCTAACTAACACTGAAATTCATAGTGAAGTGTAAGTAAACAGTCCACAGAAATGCATTATTCAATAGATTCATGTTGAATTAATATTTTTTGTCTTTTTAAACAATAATAAAGAAGCCCGTACCTTAAATGAATTTATTGGACATTGTTAATCAAATCATGTTTTTCATAAAAACATTTTTGGATGTACACCTTGATAGTTAAAAAATTAAAAACAAAGTGAAGTACTCTGACTCTACAGAGAAATATGCTTGTTATTTTCACTAAGTGTTTTTATATGCACTCAAAGTTATTTTACAAAACTGATAAACTGTGTAAAAACTTTGTAAAAATGATGAATTATATTTGAAAAATCATTTAGCAAAAATAAAATTTATTGCGAAAAAAAAAGGTTATGTAAGCCAAGATAATAGCATTTTTGAAGCTGATTTGACTTGTTTTTTTGGCTGCAATTCTTTCAATCAATGTTTCATGATATGAAAATTTAAACTAAATAATACCTTTAATAAATAGAAATAGTTATGCTACACGTTGTGTCGTTTTTTTAAACTATCTGTCCTCGACCAGAGGTGGTGTGTTTCTATCTAAATGAACTTACACCACCAAATATAATTTTTTTTAATAAAATTTTATTTAAATTTTCCTAAATAAATCATTTTTTATTTCAATATAAGCTCTATACCTACTACTCTTTAAAGTTGTAGGTTTCTGCGTCATAATGTGGAGAAACTTGGTTTGGTTTGGTTTTCTTAAATAAATATTATTTACATGAAGATACAATGACAATCCACATAAAGTAATTGTAAACTATAAATTAATTATATTAATAACCAAGAACTGAAAATCTGCAGCACAAAATATTATAAATAAAGTGGCTTCTCAGAGTTTTACACAAGCACTGGCTTGGAATTGTTAAAATAAATAAGTAGTAATATATAAAATTCCTGGACATTTTGGAAGTGTGAACTCTATTATTAATTTTTTTTTGTGGCGTCTCACAGGGAAACAAAATAAATTGCAAATAAATTGTTTAGGAATATTATTATTGTGTCCTGAAACCTTGCTGCTATTTTACGCTGGTATTCTGTGAGAGTGTGGTCGTTCCGCGTTCGAGCCGACCCATTCGTGCTACAACTATACTACTAATATAGCTGCAGCATGGCTCTACCACATAAAAAAAGCTAGTAGCTAGCTAGCTCCATCTAAATGTGTCTTTTAAAAATTAAACAACAAAGATTTTCAATTAATACTTTTAATTCAATTTCATTAAATACCTTTGCAAAAAATCCACAAATTAAAGTGGATTCAGAGACTTCCTCATAGTATTTATTATAGTAACATAAAACAAAGACTATGGTTTGGATATATGTACTTGTTTATCCTATCTTACTGTGTATAAAATAGGAAATGAAAACAGTACATATGTAAAATATGTAAATAAATATTATAAAAGTTTTTTTATATGTGTTTACTTTACATTATAAACTTAATATAACTAAATATAAATATGTACTTAGGTAATGTTGAATTCCAACCACAACGAAAATCATACCACCACGACGAGGCGGTCGGAGTGAGGAACCCTGAAGTTGTTTCGCTCATATCATCACTTTTGCGTGTTAAGCAAGAGACTTTGCTGGCCGCACTTACTTCGAAGCGGGCAAGAGCTTCAGGAGAAACACTTGTTATCAATTACAGGTGTGTTTGAAGCACCATTCAAGTACCAAAAATATTGTTATCTAATTATTTAAAATTAAAAAGTAAAAAAAATTATTCCATTCCATAAATTACATTATAGGGTGTGTTTGGCAGAAAAAAGCGCTAGCAAGCGCTTACAAGCGCTGAAATAGTTTTCGGCCAGGACACGATTACTACTTCAGTAGCGCTGACACAATCCGCCATTTTGCTTATTTAATTTGTTTGTTTTGAAGTAGAGTTTATAAGTTGTTTTGTGCAATATTAGTTTTAAGTAATATAATAACGTGAATAAACATATACATGTTATTAAAAATGCGTGATTTGTAAGTTTTTAATATGAATACTTTACAAACATATATTTAAATTAGGTTAGGTTCCTCGGTTAAAACTAACATCGTGTCCTGGAGGAAAATAGCTACTTACGATTTGCCAGCGCTTATCGCTTACGATCGCCATTTTGCTTACAAGCGCTTGCTAGCGCTTTTTTCTGCCAAACGCACCCATTGTATCAAAAGTCAACATAGGCCTCTTCATAGATTGCCGCACAGAGTGGAAATTCGCCATAGTTACCACGCTTGGCAAGTGGGTTGGCAACCACAGTTTTTATTGGTTTGAGTTGTTATCAGGAAGATGCTGCTGCCCGTCTCCTGTTTCATTTCCCACTGTCGTCTCCTATGATACTCACGGGATGATATTGGGTAGAGGATTCTTATGCCGCCATATACGGTGAAATTGGCTAGTAATAATATAAAATTCGATAAGAAAATCTGATTGTGAAGCAGAATTACCTTCAAGCTCTTAAAGAAATGATGTTAAAAATAATTTCAGACTGCCAGAAGCAATAGCAACAAGAGATGCAATGGCAAAGTGTTTGTACGGTGCTCTATTTGACTGGATAGTGATGCAGGTCAACCATGCTCTGCTTTCAAAAAAAGATACACTACGGGAACATCAGGGACATAGTATAGGTAAGTGTATTGTAATAGCTTAACAAAACATACTACTAACCTCTATTATACTATCTGTTTATATAATCGACTTTCTAGAATTATAATTTCCATTCACATTGACATAAACTTATTAGGCACCTATGTAAGATATCATTAGTATTGAGTTAGAGTAGAGGCAGTAAGAGTGAGGAATTAGATGAAACGGATATCCGGTAATTATCCGGTATTCGGCCTATCTGGCTTAAAATTACTATCCAGTCGGATACTGGATAACAAACAGCTATCCGGCCGAATACCGGATTTAAAAAAAAGCACAAAATATCAAATTTAGTTAAGTACTTCATTTATGTCACTTAACAAATATAATCAGTAATCACAAAATTTTCATTTTAAAACTTACAAAATTAGTACTCTTATTCCGCTTAGGCCTTAGGCACGGAATAAATAATAGTACTACATAGCTAAGGGCAAGTTATGGTGAATAAATACTAATTTCTCTGCATTGAAAGGTAACAAGCCGTTTGGCCTGTCTTCATAAACAAGGCCAGCTTCAGAAAAAAGTCTTTCACTGTATAGACTGCTGCAGGGTGCTGGTTTTGGCTAACTTTGATAAACTTGGGTATTGTGTATAAATACAAGGGTCACGATCGCGAACAGCTTGCACCGACTTTACTTTCCGCTTCTTGCGATGCACTAGGGAAGGTGCGTATTTACGCGACCAGGTTTTTATACCAGGTATTTACTTGCAAGTACGCCGACTAAGCGCCGATTTTAAATACTCGCAAGACTTCAAAGTATTTTAATATTCTCACTCTGACGACACGCGACGTGATTCTGCTCCTTATTTATTTTGGTTTGGAAGGTATATTTACTTTGGTTTGTAACTTTTTTTTTTTTTTGTAAACGCGATTCTGCTTTTTATTTATATTAACTTCCGGATCATTGACCTATGCAAATATTTTTTCTTCCAAAAAGGCTTGCAAGTTGGAACTTTTAAAGGTTTGGATGTTTATTTGTAAACGCAACTGTGCTCGTTATTTGTATATAATTATGGATCAATATTCTATGCAAGTATTTTTCTTCCAACAGGGTTTGAAAGTTTACTATTTTAGGATATGAGATTGCATTCTTTATCTATATGATCTTACGGATCAATTTACGATCCAGAAAGAAAATATTTCAAAGTATCTCGAGCCCTGGTTTTTGGCGCTTGTATCTGAAAGTGGACGTACTTGGAAGCCCTGGTACTCAATTTTGCAAGTACGAAGCATGTCTATGATGCACCAAACAGCAATGTTCGGCAGAATATCCGGCTATCCGGCGATAGGACTGGCCGAACTTCCGGTATCCGGCCAATAATATCCGTTTCATCTCTATCACATAATCCTCACTAAGGAACCAACCCTCTCTTCACTGTCACGGTTTATTAATTTATTTGATATGGATATGGTCTTACAGGAGTTCTGGACATATTTGGCTTTGAGGACTTTGGACCAAACAACAGTTTCGAGCAGTTGTGCATCAATTATGCTAATGAGCACCTTCAGTACTATTTTAACCAGCATGTGTTCAAGTATGAGCAGGAGGAGTATAGACGTGAGGGAATACGGTGGACGGATATTGGATTCTCAGATAATACAGGGTGCTTGCAGCTCATAGAAGGGAAGCCGAGTGGGCTTCTGTGTGTGTTGGATGACCAGTGCAAGTTAGTTTTATATACTTTTGGTTATAATAAATGTAAATTTTTGCTGTTTCTATAGTATCTTTGATTCTCCGTCATTTTAATAACCAGACTGCTAATTTTTACACCGGTTACTTGTTATTTTTAAAAAAAAAACTATTAATTGATTTCAATATTTCTTGCAGCTTTCCTTGGGCAACAAATGAGACATTGTTACAGAAATTCAACTCTGTACATGAAGACAATCCTTTTTATGAAAAGCCGCAGAGAAGAGAGCCCGCTTTTGTAGTTCGGCATTACGCCGGTAGAGTTAAATATCAGGTATACTTTTTAGTGATATTTTCGCCCTTATGTACAATCAAAGCCGCCCGATATATAAAAAGTCGGATTTGCTTACACGCATACGCATGGCAAATGAGAATATCCGCAGTAGAACCAAAGTGACCGACATAGCCCAACGGATTAGTAAGCTGCAGTGGCAATGGGCCGGCCATATAGCTTGAAGAACCGACAAACGTTGGGAAAAAAAGGTTCTCGAGTGGCAGCCTCGTACCGGTAGGCGAAGTGTAGGGCGCTCCCCACTAGATGGAGTGATGACCTGGTGAGACATGCAGGAAGTCGATGGATGCAGGTGGCTAGGGACCATGTTTTGTGGCATACCTTGGGGGAGGCCTATGTTCAGCAGTGGACTTGCGAAGGGCTGTAATGATTATGATGTACGCATGTACGCTTGCAGAAATGCCTGACAACTGTGCACATTTAAATAAAACTAGTTTTTACGGATATTAACTTATTTTATATTCCCGACGTTTCAAGTACTTTATAACACCCATGGTTACGTGGGGACAGAGGTGTACGACGTCCTCATAGTTAACCACGGCTACCTCCAGATTAAAATTATTAATTTTTGTTCCGATCTACGCAATATGAACTTATAATATCTTGAAGTCTTGCAGTTGTATGCTATAAGATCCTAAGCAGAAGTGGGTATCACCCAGCCGTCTCTCTATTGAAATTAGGATGTTTTCGATTTCAATAGCCTTGCGAATCATCGTTGAAAGAAATCGGTGTTCTTAAGCGAGGATTTGTAGTCTATCAAATCTGATATAGTGAGGGGGCGATCCTGTACGTGTTCACAGACACCAGAGCAGTGTTGCAGACTTCCCGGAGCGTCAATTCTTCATTGTGCATATATTGTAGACTTTTGGGCCTGGTCGAGTTGGGAGTGCCATCATAACATTGCACCCTAGCCTCGTTCTTACAGACGCGGCCACTAATCTTATTATACAGGATGTTAGTGTAAACAGCGTTATCCTTGAAACTAGTGAATTTAAAAAAAAAACGCTATTTTCTTTCATAAAATTTAAAAAGTTTCTGTCCGAAACCGTCCGTAAATTCATGGATACCCTATGCGCCCCAGTGACGTAATCACTATAAAGATCACCACCCTCGCTAGCTACTTACACAACATTCCAATAAAAACACAATAGGTACACATAACCTGTGATGTAACTTTTCCTTTATACTTTCATCCTGGCTTAGGACAGGCAAAAATTGAGGAATTAAGGAAAAAATGAGATTTTACTAAAAAAATGTTGTTATTTTTCATTGAATTTACGGTCTATAAGTGAAACCAAACCACTGGTTTCAAGGATAACGGTATTTACACTAACATCCTGTATAAGTGTTACACTGTGTTGTCGTGAGTGGGCTGCACAACTAATGCCAATCACTTCTTTCAAAGTTGCAGTTTCTTTCAAAATTCGGAAGTTTTCGACATGATGTCTAGAATGGCATAAGTTATTGATCTAAAAATTATTTTTATTAAACTAGTATGTTTAACGAATTATTCCTTTTATTACAGGTTACAGCAATGCGTGAGAAAAATCTAGATCTTATGCGACAAGACATTGTCAGTGTGCTCAAAAATTCGTCTTTAGCCTTCGTAAGGGAGCTAGTGGGAGTCGATCCAGTGGCCGTTTTTCGATGGGCAATTGTGCGTGCATTTTTCAGGTATGCTACGATAGCTGTTGTATTGCATTCACTAATAATAAAATGAGGCTGTTAGCATGAAATGTACCAAATCTTAAATTTTTTTTTATAGGATAGTGTGACAAACGAGCACACAGTCCACCTGATAAGTAGGTAAGTGGTTACTGTGGCCCATAGACATCTATCCTCGATTACGAATCAAAATGGAGATGCGTTGACACTCATGAAGACTAAGATGGAATGTTATGAATGTTGTCGTTTCCAGTAAAAAGGGTCTCCAGTTCTCTATACTCACCATACGAAACACAGCAGCATTAAGCTACTGTTTCACGCTGGTATTCTGTGAGAGCGTGGTCCTTCCCCAGTCGAGCCGACCCATTCGTGCTACAACTATACTTCTAATATAACTGCAGCATGGCTCTACCACGTATAGAAATTCTTCTGTCCGTGTGTATGTGACTGAACTCCTAAATGACTGGATGGATTTTGACGAATTTTTTTGTGTGTGATTAAGTTGATCCCGGAATGATTTAGATTCACAATGGAGAAGATAACTAGGTTACAAAATTAGACTTAAGTACGTAGGTAAAAAGTCTAGACCAAACACATAATTTTAGTTTTTATTTCACATCGATCGGTGCACTAATACCGAAGTTATAAGCGTGGAACGTTTACGTAGATTTTTAAAATCTCGCCCGTGCCCGCGAGTTGCGCGTGACGTCATCGTTTCCATGCGGTCGCGCCGCCATACCGTTCCAGCGCGCCGATCATACGTTTGTAGTAATATTTCGTGGATGAGTTGTTTGCCCTCGTGCGCTCTGGTGTTTTTAAGTAGTTAATGATGGAAGAAGGGTTTCTGACAACCTTCCAATAGTCCGTGACATGATGGTGGCGGAATATTTTCTAAGAAACAAAGATTTTGTCACGGCTGAAATACGCATAAGAATAAGATAAAAATTTTATAACCTAGGTACTCATTATTACATTAATACTTCTAATAATTATTTCTAGTATTATTTTGTTTAATTTCATTTGCTAATTGAAAAATACGTAAACATTCCTGACCTACCTACTTACTAATAGTAATATAAAGTAATATAATAGTATAGTAAGTTACTATCAGCCTCTAACTAGTTTTGTTTTCTTATTCTTCTTAAATGCACCCTAACCTTTTTGAGGTTTTTATGGTTAAAAAAATTTCCTGTTGTTTATAAAGAAATTTACTACAAATATACCTTCGGTGTATAAAAATATGATTTTATCTAAAAATCAGATGTTTTCAATATTAATAGAAAAGGGGTCGCATTATTATTATGATTAAAAACGTAGTTATATATTCTTCAGGCAAGGAATCAATGTCAATATTATCATCTAGAGTAGTAACAGGATCGACAACATATCTATGCTCAATTTCTTGTGAAGTAGTGGCAATTGCATGTGCAACTGTTTCTGACCTAGATTTGGCATTTAGTTTTGATAGTAAACATCTTTGTGGTTTTCTGTATACCGATTTTGACAAGCAAACTTGTGAGGCAAAACATCTTTTTTAAGTTTGAGGGGACCACCAACTAGTTTTGTACTTCACATAGTTTTCCATATCGTTTTAGACCTAGAACAAAATACAAACTTATTTAAAGTCTATAAAAAATAAGGAACCTCGTAATTTGTATTCCATCAATATTTAAAATATGTACCAACTATGTAATACATAAAAATAGCACAACACGAAAAAAAATTTAAGTGCTCCACGTCATAATCAAACTTTTCCATTATTTGCGGCCCGCAAAGTATGCAGGTTGAACAGCTCTGCGATGTGTTTAGTTTTTGCTCGAAATATCGTAAAAATATAAAAACCTTTGTTAACATATTCCATATTTTAACCTTTATATGCATTATAAACATTTTAAAATTTGCTGCAAACATAGGTAGGTATCTAAACTTACAAACTCACGACAGGTCATTGACTTATCTACATTACGTACATAGGAAAGTACTTTACCCAAGTTTGGATGTTTATTTACACTGAAGTAGTTTTAGTTAAATATGTAGGTATTAGGTATTGTTTCTTCTTGAAATTATAATGATCACTAAGTGTGGAAAGGTTCAATGAATCGTTAGTTACTTAAACACTGCGACTCGAGTAGGTACATGCCCAATAGAAAGCATTTACCTACTATAGCAATAACCAATGTGAAGGTTATTATTATTTGAATACTTACATCCAAATGATCCTCACAACAATATGCTACCATGATTGGTCCTAAAGGATGTGCTCTTCTCATAGCATTTGTCCATTTTTTTTCTGATGGTAGGGTTTCTAGGCACATTAAAAAACTTTTTGTGGCCGTATATTTACATTGAGGCACAGCACAATATTTAATAGATGGTGTCATGTTCTATAATGTTTCTTGTTAAAAATAGATAGCAAATAGATCCGCGCGCGACGGGCACATTTGAGTAAATATTTTGATTTTCTAAGTGCGCGTCGGGTCGCTTGCACGAAGATGGAAATCGTGACGTCATCAACGATGTCGCGCTGGGCAAGCGGCTTAGACCGAAAATGTTAACTTTGCGCCTTTATATCTCGGTCAGTTTTGAAGATAGAAAAAAATTAAAAACACACACAGTTATTCTCGTAATTTTTTGCAGAATTTTTGGGCATATAAATCAAAAAATGGTTATCTTCTCCATTGAGCCCGGTAGATGGCGTTGTTGTCAAGATCCATAAAACCCCATGCGAAGTCGGAGCGGATCACTAGTTTTTCTTCATGCGCCCACCCAAAAAAACCTCAACCAAATTGACAGTTGATGGAGTGCTTCATCCTTTTCCATTACAGCCTATCAAAAGTCCACTGTTGAACATAGGCCTTTAACCACAAATTGCCTCACATGGAGGGTTGTTGCCATAGTTGCCGTTTTTGGCAAGCAATTTCTTAACATTTGGAATTGTATAAGGAAGATGTGTCTGTCCACATCCTGTTTCATTTGTATCAGTCGCCTCTTACCATACCCGTGGGATGATATGAGTCAGTGGAGCGCCGCCACTACCACAGTCTACTAATACTAACAGTCGGTCATAGAAGGCGTCTAGATGGGGCAATCGTGCGGTGCGGTGCGGGGCGAGACGCGGGAAGTTCCCGAGCGGCTGTTAGTAGCTCGAAAACTATCCACTGGGGTTGTTCTGTCACACAAATAATTTAAACACACACTACATGTGCGGTACAAAACTGTAGGGCGTGCTCATTTAAAGATAAGTAATTAAAGTTTTATCAGTTTCCACAGGTATATGAATTTATTTAAACGTGAAAATAATTTTTTTTATTACTTCCCGTTCTGACAACCCTAGGAATTTGTTGTTTATGTCGGTATTTCTGACAACATCAAACGCGATAACTGGCTGTATGTTCTATTTAGGCTGTGCCACTACACAGCGCCAGAGCGCTCTTTATTCGTTTGTGGGTGTGATATTTGCTTGCCGTTGCTTTTTTTTGTAAACAATGAAAAAAATTGCCCTCGCTTAATTCTTTCACTAATTTTACGATATAAGAGAAATTAGGTAATTAATAAGAAAAAAATTAAAAGAAAGCGTAAATGTGCTGATTACCCAAATAAAATGCAAAAAATATAGAGAACTAGCTGTTCCCCGCGACTTCGTCATGGAATTTATTACGGTTGGGTTTCATGGGTTTGTTTTGTTTTTCTAAAATAAAATTAGCCTAAGTTACTTCTTATAATATCAGCTATCTGCCAGTGAAAATCCCGTAAAAATTGGTCCAGCCATTTCGGAGATGGACCGGAACAGACAGACAGATCGACAGGCAAACAGACAGACAGACAAAATGATTTAAATTTGTTTTTTTTGTTTTTTTTTGTTTTTTGTCAGTCAGTACCGTACCGACCTTACAAATGGACACTTCAATTGTATATATTGAGAAAAATAATACATAACTTGTTATTGTTTTCAGAGGCTACTTTGCCTTCTTAGAAGCTGGCCGAAGACACAGAGTCCAAAGAGTAGATGGCGCCTCGAGAGTACCTCGCCCGTCAATTCAGTCTGTCAACGATAACATAATAAGGTAAGTTTGTTTATATCTATTTTGATATTTTTCAAGACATTCAATGATTGTGCTCCAATTGCATTAAAGCAAGTGAAATTAGCTTTGATGATCAATGATTTGTCTAATGTCAATGAATTGTATGAGAATCTATTGCGAAAAATTTTAACATTGTTAAAGTGTACTATAATATGAACAAAATTAAAGAATGTTTTGATCAACGCTATATACATCTATTTAAGCTTTTGCTAATAATGTTATGTGATGTAATGATATGTCTTGTTGCTCAGCCAACTGGTGACAGTATCGTCAATCAATCTAGCAATCAACCGCATTGCGTAAGTCATCCAGTTTACGGCATGCTTCTACATTTTATCTGCACTTACTGCATGAAAATTTATGTATTATTTTCAATCAAACTGTGACACCACTATTCGTCCTATTGACTGTGAACACAAGGCTGTGATTAGATGTTTTTGTCACATATGACTAAAATTTTATTTCAAATAATGTAAGTTCTAATTGATTAAATACTATTATAACTCTTAATACTTTAAAAAATAATTAATTAAATTAAAAAATTAGGTTATAATGGGTGAGGAAAAAGTAATCACCCTATTGGAAAATGCTATAATTTTTGCAAATTGCGTCAAATGTCAAATCGGATTTGAGATATTTGACGTAAACAGATGTAAAATATATGTCGACAAGCCATGAATCGCTATATTCCTCAAGAACGCGGAATAATTATATTGCGCAATAATTCTTCTGTGATGTTAGCACAGCGTGAATTTCGTCACAGATTTACCAGCCATCCGACACCAACTGGACAAACACTGCTGCGTTTGGCCGCTCGCCTTAGAGGACTGGGACAAACCCGAGATGTTCCTCGGCGGCGGCCGGCCTCGGACTAGCCGTCCTGCTGAGAATATCTCCGTGATAGCCGAAGATGTCGAAATGGACCCCGGAACATCGACCTGACGATGCGCCGCGCAATGAGCCTTAACACGCGGGCCCTACGACTAATTTAGGTGAAAGGCCTGAAGATGTTTCCTTACAAAGTGCATCAGCTGTTAGTTGTTAACTGCCAAATGCGCTTAACCTACGTTCAAGCCATCCTGAATCTTGGTCAAGATGACGATTTTTCATCGAAACTCATGAGCGATGAGGTTCATTTCCACCTCAGCGGCTACGTGAATCGCTAAAATTATCGCTTCTGTAGCACCGATATCCGAAATCCGCGTGTGATCTACGAAGAACCATTACAGCCGCTCAAGGTTACGGCATAGTGCGTTGTTTATGTTGGACGAATCGTTGGGCCATTTTTTTTTCGAGGACGCCGCGGGCCAAACGGTTACGGTGAACGGCGACCGCTCAACGAGTTTTTTCTTCCTCAATTGGATGAGCTAAGACTGGAGGACATGTGGTTATAACAGGACGGTGCAACGACGCACAATGCCCGAGCCACAACCGATATTTTCAAGCAGGCATTTTCGGGGCGCCTAATATCTCGTTTTGGCAATTTGCACTGGCCGCCAAGATCGCCCGATTTGACCGTACCAGACTTCTTTTTGTGGGGGTTTTTGAAGTCTCGTGTTTACGTGGACAAGCCTCAGTCTCTGGAAGCCCTCAAGGACAACATCCGACATTAATGCGCGAACCTATCGCCTGAATTTCTGGTAAAAAGGGCCCATATGGTCATCAATGCTGGTGAGCGGCCACTTGTGCTATATCATCTTCTCGACTTGATGGAAAAAATTCTAATGAATCAAACTTAAATATTCCACAAACCAAAGAACCAAAACATTTTATTTGTAGAAAAAATTACAGCCAAAGAACATGGGATGATTACTTTTGCCTCACCAGTTATATGCAAAAACATGTTTAAAAACATTTAATTTTACTTGTCCATACACTCAAAAGCATTTGAAAGTGTACAATGACTTTTCCATTGATACCATGTTGTGTTAAGAAGAATGTTAACATACTTTTGGTTATTGTCTAAACACAGTCTTGTAAACATAGACATTTCACTATTAGTCATTCAAATTTCATATTTTAACTATTAGTCACATCTAATGCAAATAATGGCACACACTTTTGGGCACTCCAAGCCGTCAAGCATGTGACACACAAGCGGCACTAATTGGTTTTAATTTTTTTTAATATATTTTCTTTTTTGTTTTTTTTTTTTATATTAATTTATAATCCTAATTTCCTTTCTCATCCGACTATAAATTCGAGAAGAACGCCACACAGAGCGGCGAGTAAGGCGCGCGAAACGCCCGTTCGGGCGAACAGCGATAGTAAGCAGCGTTCGGAAGCGGCTAACGCGACGCGCGTTGGTGGGAAGGGGACAAAAAATTACAGGATCGCCGAAACGCGCACGCGTCGAATCGAACGGGAGTTCGACGACACCGACGTGATGCAGCGCGCCAGCCAGATCGTCTTGTACGTGCGACGCTCATATACGCCCTGCTCTGTCTCTGTCTCGCACTGCTGTCGACTTCATCAAACAAAAATAAGCACACGCGCACTTGGGTTACATATCAGACATGTCAATAAAGTAATGGGCCCGGTCGTGTTCTAATTTGGGATAATTGCGAATAATGACTTATTTTAAGAAACTGCACAGCTAAGAAAAATATTATTAGCTGTGCAGTTTAATAAGTGAACGTTTTTCATGTACCATGACAAATTGTCGATATATTATATTTTTTAAATGAAAGTAGGTACTTATTTGATTGACAATAACAAGTGGCGATGATGACGTTCTGACCAATTTTCGACTAAGTCAACAACTTCCGAATGATGGAAAGCTAGCAAAATTAATTAAATAAAAATATTTAAACCTTATGGGAAGTAAATCTTAAGATTACCTCATAAGATTATACAACACTAAATGTTTCTAGCTTTCCCAATATTAAAAAAGTAGTACGTTAATGTAATAAATTTGAGATACTTAAAAGCACATAGAGGTTTCTAACAGTATATTAATATGGTATTTAAACATTTTTATTGTTAATCTTTTAATTTGCATCAGTGATTACATTTTTTTATTATCTAATTTTGTTTGATGAAATTTATCTTTTGGTAGCAGGGTCACTCCTTTCTCTTTTATTTTGGTGATGGCTTTTTGGTTTTAATTTTCCTTGTTTATCTCCTGTTATTTGTTATTAACATGGAATTGTGTTTGTGTAAGTCATACGTAGTTGAATTTAAGATTTTTTGCCGCGCGAAAATATTGCTTTAAATGCATATCAATGGTACATTTTGAATTAAAAACCATTTTATAGTCTCGGCAGGAGTTTTTGAATTGTTGACTTTCTTTTTTATTTATAACAATTGTCAATAATCTAAATTTTTGATTTTCTTTTTTTAAAACCACGTCAAATTAGTTATGTAATGCCGAGATTGTGAAGTGATTCTTGTTTTATAAAAATAGAATTGAGATTTAGATCTAGTTCTAATTCCAGAACTGGTTAAACATAAATACTTTAACCAGATAGTCTTCGAAGCTTAATTATCAATTTTGTAACTATTCCGCCTTTTAAACATGATTTGATCTGCAACTGTATAACAGTTTGTAGCGGCTTTTGTATAACTTCTAGATTTAATTGTAATACAGATTCAATGTTATGTCATTCCATATTATTATTATTTAACTTTTTCTCCTGCATGTTTTATTCAAAGGTTTTTTTAAATAGTGGTTGGGATATATAGCATTGCTATTATATTGAATTTAATAATAATATTTGGAATGTGCAGGAAGAATAAGTCGTTCAGACCTAGGGAGCGTGCCAAAAAAGGTTTAAAAAACCTTCAAAGTGTTAAAACACTGGCAGGAAGAACAGCTGCTCCTGCTGGCAAAAGAAAACAGCCCTTGACCGTTGCTGCTCAGTTCCAGCATTCTCTAGCGGCGTTAATGGAGACTTTGAATCAAGCCAATCCCTTCTTCATCAGGTTAGTTTTTCACCCTGGCAAATTATTATCTAATTACGCAGGAAACTGGTGAACTGGTATTTTTGGTCTGGTGAGATGTTTCAAACTCTTTACTTGTTAATCGAATTTGATGGCCTCTTATTTAAATGATGGTTAAAATATTTATTACCTCTTCCATTGACCATAAGATCTCCCTGAGATTCTAGGATTCTAGGTCGTATGACTCTAATGGAAGAAAAAGGGTGATACTCTAATGCCACAAACGTACAGATATGCTAGTGGAACAAAAGTTTCCCTCTGTATTTTGATCTTCCATGTTCCCGTTTTGGTTCTAAGTTGCAATACTTTTGGTTCAGAAGTTAGCTAGCATATGGTTAATGTGTTCGTTCCACAGATTACCCCCTAATAGATACCGCATCATTGAATTTTTGTTCTGTTTCGATTTCACCAAATTTGGCAGCATACGAGAGTTGCAGGGCACGTGTCAAATGCGCTGTAATTGGATATTTCAAGGTTAAATTTCGAATGCACCGAAGCATAGTGATGGGACAGGGTTTGAAAGTTGATCGATAAATTTGGGATTAACTAATTATTGATAATTAATTAATTTGATCAATTTTTATTTGGAAGTTAATAAAAAATAAAACAATTCATATATATTTCTACATGTAATTTAATGATTTCTTAAATTTACGCGTACACTACACATTGAATGAACATTTTATCATGTTTAATTAACTATATTTTAACTATAATTTTAAATCACGACGTTTTGGCTGCTTTACGTCATACGTGAGGGGCGGGGGGGGGGACTAAGATGTTTGACTTCCCAATGTCATAGTTAGCCTGGCTACCTTCAGTTTTTGAATATTAATTTTTATTCTTACAGTGGTATGCTTTGGTTTGGGTTTAATTTTGCTAATTATAGAATCCCAAGTAGATGGCAGCATCCATCTCTATTGAAATTAGTATGTTTTTAATTTCAATAGCCTCGCGTATCATCCTTGGTAGAAATCGGTGTTCTTTTGCGAAGATTTGTAGTTCATCAAATCTGATATAATGGCGGCGATAATCTTGAACGTGCTCACAGACTGCAGACTTCCCTTAGCGTCGGTGCTTCATGTCAGCTATATGTTCTTTCACGCGGGTTTTTATAAAGCTTTTTGTTTGACCTATATAAGAGAGACCACGTTTACAATCTAGCTTGTCACTCCTGCATCTTGTAGAGGAATATTACGCTTGATAGTAAAAATCGACTTATATAACGAAAAATAACCTTGAACAAGATCATTTTAATTTTTTTAATGTTTATATTAACTATCATTAATATATTTGGCTGGCAGTATGTAGCTCATTTTTTTATTTATTTATTTAATAATATATAAAATTTAAAATAATAATATAAAATTTACCGTCAACTCGTGTTTTGCCAAGTCATAAAATATCACAATATCATCCGCGAATCTTAAGATGATGTAAGGTTTTCCTGTTTTTATTAATTTCATTTCTTATTCATTTTAAGTTGTCAATTATGTGTTTCAGTACTACTATATATCTATATTTTTAATGAACTGTTTCACTTCTTGTCCTTTTCATTGAGAAGGCAGGAATCAGTTCGGTCTAGTTTGACTTAACTAGTGCCTCATGGTAACGACGTGCGACCATGGTAACGGCGGGGCAGGGGGTGCTAAGAATCTCCGGTGGAGGTTCGGTTGCCACCTACGACGACTCGACCTGGCAACATATAACGCACGCACCCTGAGGACTGACGAGAAGATACTAGAGCTGGAAGAAGAGGTAGACAAGTTGCGCTGGCATATTATTGGATTATCCGAGGTCCGAAGAGAGGGGGAGGACACGGCAATCCTCGAGTCCGGCAACTTGTTCTATCACCGGGAGGGCGACCATCTGTCCCAAGGAGGTGTTGGATTTATCGTCCACAAGTCTCTCGTCAACAACGTTGTAAAGATTGGGAGTGTGTCGACGAGGGTCGCGTACCTGATACTCAGAATCACCAAACGGTATTCGCTGAAAGTCATTCAGGTTTACGCACCAACCTCGGCACATCCCGATGAGGAGGTGGAGGAAATGTATGAGGATATTTCCAGAGCCATACATTCCTCCAAAACCCACTACACGGTGTTGATGGGAGACTTCAACGCAAAACTAGGCACAAGAGAAAGCGGTGAGCTGAAGGTAGGGAAATTTGGAGTAGGGCAACGGAACCGAAGGGGCCAGCAGCTGGCCGACTTTATGGAGAAAGAGGGACTCTTTATGATGAACTCTTTCTTCCAGAAGCGGCCCCACAGGAAGTGGACCTGGTCGAGCCCCGACGGTTCGACAAAAAATGAGATTGACTTCATTATGACGACCAGACGCCAACTGTTCAGTGATGTCTCAGTGATCGCAAGGGTGAAAACTGGCAGCGATCACCGAATGGTTAGAGGCACACTGAACCTAAACGTTAAGTTGGAGAGGTCTCGTCTAATGAAGTCAACGCTCCGTCCCCCCTCGTGCTCTAATCCAGAATCCCGAAACCTTTCAGCTCGAGTTACGTAACCGCTTCCAGTGCCTAGAAGATTGCAATGCAGTGGACGATATGAACGACAAGCTCGTGGAAACTGTCCATGCGGTCGGAGCTAAGTTCTGCAAGACCCGCCGCAGAAGAACACAAAAACTCTCCGATCACACTCTTAATCTCATGGCTGTTAGACGGGAGATGAGGCTGCAATCGTCAACAGATTTGACAGCATACAGGCAACTGAACAGACAGATCTCCAAATGCATGCGGCGAGACTTACGCAACTTTAATACTTCTCGTATTAAAGAAGCGATCGAGCGGAACCAGGGCTCCAAAGTCTTTGCCAGAGATCTGTCTGCCAGAAAGAGCCAACTGTCAAAGCTGAAGACTGAGTGTGGCAACATCGTTTCCGGGACACCTGAGATTTTGAGTGAGATTGAGAGGTTCTATGGGCAGCTGTACACATCATCGTTGGAGCCACACGCAAGTGTGAGTAACGATCCAAGAGCAAGTCTTATCCGACACTATTCCGATGATATCCCGGACGTCAGTCTGAGCGAGATTAGAATGGCTCTCCACCACCTTAAAAACGGCAAGGCCCCGGGCGAGGATGGAATTACAGCGGAGCTTCTGAAAGCGGGTGGAAAACCGGTACTTGAAGTCCTTCAGAAGCTCTTCAATTCCGTCCTCCATGGTGGCACTACTCCGGAGGCGTGGAGCAGAAGCGCGGTGGTTTTGTTCTTTAAGAAAGGCGACAACGCTCTCTTGAAGAACTACAGACCGATTTCCCTTCTGAGCCGCGTCTACATGCTATTTTCGAGAGTCATTACGAATCGTCTCGCACGCAGACTCGACGACTTCCAGCCTCCCGAACAAGCCGGTTTCCGAAAAGGCTTCAGTACCATAGACCACATACATACCCTGCGGCAGATTGTACAGAAGACCGAAGAGTACAATCTGCCACTTTGCATGGCATATGTGGACTATGAGAAAGCCTTTGATTCCGTCGAAATTTGGGCGGTGCTACAGTCCCTTCAGCGGTGCCAAGTTGACTGTCGGTACATCGAAGTGCTGAAGTGTTTGTACAGTAGGGCTACGATGGCTATCCGAGTACAGAACCAGAGTTCGAAACCTATCCAACTGCAGAGAGGTGTAAGACAGGGTGATGTTATATCCCCGAAACTCTTCACCGCTGCGTTGGAAGACGTTTTCAAGCTACTGGACTGGAAAGGATACGGTATTAACATCAATGGCGAGTACATCACTCACCTTCGATTTGCCGACGATATAGTCATTATGGCAGAATCGCTGGAGGACTTAAGCATTATGCTCAATGACCTCAATAGTGCCTCCCAACGGATAGGTCTTAAGATGAACATGGACAAAACTAAGATCATGTTTAATGTCCATGTCACACCTATGCCGGTAGTTGTTGGGAGCACTATGCTCGAAGTTGTTGACGAGTACGTTTACCTGGGACAAATAGTCCGACTAGGTAAGTCCAACTTCGACCGAGAGGTCAATCGACGGATTCAACTCGGCTGGGCAGCGTTCGGGAAATTACGACATATCTTTTCGTCAGGTATACCTCAATCTCTAAAAACTAGATTGTACAACCAGTGCGTGTTGCCAGTGATGACTTACGGATCTGAGACGTGGTCCTTCACTGCTGGCCGTATGAGGACGCTTAAGGTCGCTCAGCGAGCTATGGAAAGGGCTATGCTTGGAGTTTCTCTGCGTGATAGACTCAGAAATGAGGATATCCGCAGTAAAACCAGAGTTACCGACATAGCCCAACGGATTAGTAAGCTGAAGTGGCAATGGGCCGGCCATATAGCTCGAAGAACCGATAACCGATGGGGAAGAAAGGTTCTCGAGTGGCAGCCTCGTACCGGTAGGCGTAGTGTAGGGCGACCCCCACTAGATGGAGTGACGACCTGGTAAGACATGCAGGAAGTCGATGGATGCAGGTGGCTCAGGACCGTGCTTTGTGGCATTACTTGGGGGAGGCCTATGTTCAGCAGTGGACTTGTGAAGGGCTGAAGGGCTGTAATGATGAATGATGAGTGCCTCATGGCCGATATTCTTTTAGGATGTTTATGTATTGCTGGGGTATATATTGGTTTTAGAGCTTTCCAAATACTGCTGTGCGAAATAGAATGAAAGTATTAGCAAAATAATAGTGGTTATATAATACGCAGTAGTAGTGGTTTTCTGATTTCATTATATTTTTCTATTGCCTATTTCCATTTTTTTTCGAAATTTATTCCCTTAATATATTTTTTGTCAAATGGTTTTTATGTTACTAGTATACGTTGAACTCCGATGAATTTGAAATAGGTTAACGTGATAAGAATAGAATTTACTTACGATTTAATGATTTGCCATCTTTTTGATAACTGGGTGTCTTAGCTGATTTGCCACACAATTTCACTGCACAGGAAGCTATTTGTAATGTAGTTTGTATACAAAACTAGTTTTAAATTGTCGAGAACGCGGACGTGCCTGCGGGTCACAAATTTGGTCGGTACTGATGTCGTGATTCTTAGCGTCACTTCATATGCTAGCTGCAGCAAGCATGTGTTGCGCGCGTTTGTAGCCCTGAATGCGGAATCTATTGGGGGGGGGGGGGGGGGTAATCTTTGGTTCTTCCCAATCATACTTAACTTTGTGTTTATTTATAATATAGAATACAAAAAAAATCATTGGACCATATCTGTTTACAGATGTATAAAATCAAATGGAGACAAAATAGCGAATGTGTTTGATGAAGACACTGTACAGCGGCAGTTGCGCTATACCGGAATGCTAGAGACCGTCCGCATACGACAAGCCGGATACAACGTACGGCTCACGTACGAAGAGTTCATACAGCTGTACAGGATATTGCTGCCAAAAGGTCTGCTGAGCTCTCAGTCAGATGTTAGACACTTCCTTGCTACGCTCAACTTGGATAGGGATAATTATCAACTTGGTAAGTGCGTTATTAAGTGTAGATTATTATTAAAAATCAGGCCTAAATTAGAGTTCCAAAACAGTATTACACGTCGTAGTATATCTTCTATCTATATCTTGTAATAATTTAAAAAAAATTGAAATTTTTATTTGTTTACTAGGTGCTGATTAGGGTCTTATATATTTTATACAAAATAATATTTTGATGCTCTTAGGTAAAAGTCAGTTTTTATTTCTTATGACTTGCTTCATCAACTAGAAATAGCTCGGGATAATTTATGGTTATGGTCACATATGTACCATACCACTTAGGTAGATATTGACAAAACTCAATGGAGAGAGACTGTGAATTCGAGTTCGCAAAACTAGTCTATTTATTATTTTATATGAAGCTAATCCGACGTTAGAATAAGGCTTCCAAACTTTGTCATTATTCTATAGTTATTATAACAGTACTGTTGTAATAAATTATTTAAAAAATTTACAGGTGCGACAAAAATATTCATGAGAGAGAGCGAGCAAAGGAAACTGGAATATCGGTTACATCAACAAATCATGGCGTCCATCATAACGATCCAGCGATGGCACCGTGCCGTGTTAGAGCGACGGCGCTTCCTCGCTTTGCGGCGCGCTGCCATCATCATACAGGGTTATTGCCGGTATGTTTAATCTTTAATTAATTCAAAAGAGTCAATTCTTCATATGAACTTATTCTTCTAAAAGTTAAAATACATAGACAGCTTCATGGCGCAGTGGCTTAGCAATAAGTTGCAGCGCTAAGGGTCGCGGGCTCGAATCCCACACGGAACAATAATTTGTATGACCTACAAGTAATTGTTTCGGGTCTTGATGTTTGTCCTTGTGAAAGTTATGTATGTAAACTGCCCCTACGATACAGGAAAAAATCCAAGTGTGGAGGTATCGCTTTTGTTTTTAAAGAAAAAAGCATGAATAGAGAAATTATTTATTTAAAGCGATAAAATCCGTGTAAAAAACTAGTTACATTAAAAAAAAAGCTTAAATCAAGATTTAATAGAGATTTATTTTCTTTATAAACTATCAATCCAAAACTACACAAAGGTTGTTGTGATTGCTATAATAATAATATTATTGACCATTTGGCATAAATTAATACATATAAAATGATGAATTAAAAATTATAAATTACACCCATAACTAAATTGCCATAGGCTTTTATAACTTAATCTTTAGAAATTTTTCCTTTTTAAATTCAAAGCCACTTCACTTCCCTTTCTTACTCTTCGCCACAACTTCAGATTTATTCATAAATTTTGAATATAATGTAAAGAATGATATAAATTTGATAAGAATAAAGACACGTATCAGGATATATCACTGTGTTGGTGGGACTTAAACCATAGTAATGTTTAAAAATAATTACAATTAATTTATTATGAATTGAGTTTCCCTTCGTTTTTGCTGCTTTAATAACAACAGTGAAATAACATTTACTTGCTTTTGTATTGCGAGTAACATGATCAGGGTTTCTGGCTACTTCGGATACTGAATTCCAATTTAATCAAAGGCAATTTGTGGAAAGCAGTTGTTGGTGTTTGTAATGGCGGCTCTACATGTTGGCCAACAAAGTGGCGAATGTTGTGGCCAATAGCAATGGCCATCGTGTAGAGCAGGTGTTTGTGATACCTTGGTATGTAATGGAATGATGGCCCACAAGTTGGTGCGAGAACCGTGTGGTGTCGGTTTTTTTTTTACAAAAGATCAAAGAATTGTGACTGAGTTTGATCGCCGCGTCCACACGTTGGGCGCGCGTTTAGTTTGCTACGAGCTCCCAGAGTGATTGCACGCACCTGTATTAAATTTTATATTCACGCTTCGTAACTCGTGTCTACAAAATGACAATAAGAATGCACAATGAAGAAACTTTTCGCTTCATAGAGCTCTACCAAGCTGGAAATTGTTTGTGGAACCCAAGAAATAAAAATCACAAAAATAAAAATTCTAATAAAAATAAATAAAAATAATAATTTGTTATACGTGAATGACGTGTAGTATGTGCCAAATCGATTGAAAAAAACGGACAATCACCTTTCAGTCGTTTAACCAGCTTGATAGGTTGAGGCAAGTGACTTTATTTGCTGGTTGCGCATAAACTTCTGGCACTATAATGCTCAGTTAATTTAGTTGAAGCTTCCGTTTATTTGGAACATCTAAAAGCGAACAGCTGAAGCGGCTTCTAATAATAGCGATTTCATTCATACGTAATGACGATACAATTTTGTACGTGTACTATGATGCGCGCACGATAACAGTAAGATAGTCGAATTGACTTTTCATTTTGCATTGCGCACAAAGAAAATACAAGAAATTATTAAAGTGAAGTAACTATAAACCCATTTCTATTTTTATCCTGTCCATGATACTTTAAAATGTAGCTTAAAAATTTTGTACCCCTTTTTAAGTAATATACTTAAAATCACCGCTCATGCATGAGAATGAGGTGATCGTCACCATACTGGTTCTGTAAAAATTTATTCAAAAATTGTACAAAATAAATTTATTGCAAAGTGTACCTACCCATACAAGCAATTACGTTGTATTATCACTACTACGAACCCGATTCGCTGTTTTGACAGACTGAGTAAATTTACACATTTTAGACTTGATTAATGTTCAAAATAATCATTAAAAAAATTGTTTATATTTTGTATTTTCTAAATAATTTGCATGCGAAATTTGGAAACGATTGTAACGTCAAAACACATCTCGTGTTGACATTTATACGTGTTAGTGACATTTTAGTGGCTACACGGGCTCCGCCCACTCCCCCTTTCTATTATGTATGTATTATAGTATTCTATGTGACAGACGATTGTTTTTATATGTTTTCTCCTTGCAAAAATCAGAAACAGTTCTGTATCGAGATAAATTGCCATAGAATACTACCCCCTTCCGATCCGCTGGTGGCCTGTGTTGCTCTTGTTTGAAGGCTAATAATCTCACGCTCACCAGATGTCGATTGTTGAAATATTTGTTACGCAAATTCACACAGTATCTCATTCAACAGTTGCAATTTAATTACAGGTTTTTCAGTTTCTAGCGTATGAATATTTATAAAACAACGCCTCAGTGCTGATTTTTTGATATTTTACACATTATAACTTTTTTTTAATTCTTTTACTTTTAGGAATGTCCGTAGTTCGGTTTATCTATTTCTAAGCTAATTCATATAAAATGTAACTTATATTTCAGAAAGAAATATTAAACTCTATTACTCTACATTTTTCTAAGAAACTAACTTCCTCCACTCTGACATTTGTGAAAAATCCTGAATCGTGATTTTTTTCCAGTTTTAAAAAAAACACGATACTTGAGAAGTGTAGTGTGCCGATAGATACAAATAATCCTTTATTTTTGTCAATTTTTCTATACATTGCTCTCTGAGATGGTTAAATAGATGTCATGTCATGTCACGCGGCTGAGACGCGGTTGAGACCGCGGGGCACAACTAGTTACTTATATGTGAAAGTTAAAGCCATTTTTTGTAAATTTGACGTGGCAGATCTCTTTTTCCAGCAAAAAAACGTCGGTTCAGCCGAAATTAATTTGGTCTAGTGAGTGTAGTGAAAGAAAGAAGACAGAAAGAAAAAAAATATTTATTTAGTTAGTTTTAGTGCGGCTGCAATTAGTTTTAATGTAAACATGGGACTACGTGGACTTATACATTGACAGAGGAACGATTGCGTATGGCTACTCCCTTCCGAACACCGGTGGCCCGTGTTACTATGGACTTCATTTACAACATCGTCGTTAGTGAATAAAAATATTTGAATTGGTATTGTACGTGTGGGCAGGCAATGGCTGGCGGGGCGGCAGGATGCGGCGCGGCGGCTGCAGGCGTGGTACCGCGGGCCGCGCGTGCGGCGCTGGTACGTGCAGCTGCGGCGCGCGCTCGTGCGCTTCCAGGCGCATGCGCGCGGCGCGCTGCTCCGCCGCCAACTGCCCCGCCTCAAGCTGCACCGCCCGCCCGCCCCCTCGCCCCCGCCGGCACAGGTGCGCACCATTACACTCCACTCCACACGCCTTCCATCTTCTCACTATCGAATTGTTTGAAAAAAAAAAACATGATACTTCTTTATTTTTTCCTATTTTTGATGATTTAAATAAACTATTATATCTTCTTCTTTGACATGTTTCTGCAAGCGCGACATCAATAATCTACTGCAATCAAAAAAAACTGTTATGTAATCTTGGAAAGATTTCAATGAAGGAGTCATGTTGCTCTGTCTAAGACTTTAATTACACTATATACTAATAACAACAATGAAAATTAATATCATTATCTCTATATATCGTGTAGGCTGCTCTACATCACACTACCAATGATTAATTTGTAGAAAAAAAAACGATATGACACTTTCAATGTTATTTAATGTAATCAATGTTAATAAAATGTGTGTGTGTGTGTATTGGTACTAATGACAAAACTTCTGCGAATAGTTTGTGGGCATTTATAGATGAGCATGTGAAATTATGTAAAAGTGATATCTCGTCATTCTTCTCTGTTGTATTTTATCATCCTTTGGGTTTTTTTTTCAGTCAGTAAATTATTACCCTATGTCAAAACCGCCATAATATAAATCGAAAAATGTTTTATAATAAATATTTACTGTACTACTTAAAATGAATCTATCTGCTAAATTTACTAAATAAAGTTTCTTAAAGTTATAATAGCACATAGCTACAAACAGTCACAACATATCTTTTTCACCTGAAAAAAGTTTAAAATTAACTTGAATTTTTATACATTTGTAAATTTTTATAAGTTCTATGGCCAAAATTTTAAGAAATAAAATACTAATTAGTCTCTACTGTTGATTTTTTTTTCATTGGCGTACTATATTACCATTTATAAAATTAATAGCAAATTAGTTTTCTTTCAATGACCACTGGCATTTTTAAACCCAATTAATTTTTGGGAAAATCAAACATCTATTTACAAAACGATCTGAACTCAAAACTTTATTTGTGGCATTTCTTGTACAATATTACAAGTAATAACAATTGGTACAGTTACAAGAAATTGCTTAATTTCAAATTTCACTTATCATTTTTCATCTTACTAGTGTCATAATGAATGTGGATACTTTCTACTAACACAATGATTTATTAATTATTAAGCATCGAAACCATTGAATGTTGATGTAAAACACACATGTACAGTGTTGTGTTGAATGTCTGTGTTGACAGCATGACAGTAACGCGGCCACGTTACCCGAGGAGTACAATTCATCGCCCGATTTCGACAAGAGCCTGCTTGTGCTTAAGAACATCATGGAGCTTAAACTGTGAGTATTTTATCACATTGCATCAACAGCTTAGTCCATTTGATAAAAATCTAAGGACCCTAGTATCTACTTAGATCTGTCCATGAATACTGTTACGAGCTTAAGGTTCGTGAGAATAAAAACTGCCGATTGAATTACCAAAATTGACACTTTAATTACGACTTGAATTACGAACACCAATTAAAACTTAAATCACACTAATAATTAATCACACTTAACACTTTAGTTCACTTTATTTCGCTCCGAAAGCTTCACTCGTATCGCCAATTCAATACTGCCCCCGTCGCGGCCCTACACGGCTTTATATAGGCTTTTTTCCACCGAAACATCTAGAATGTTCCAGCAAATACCGGCCCCGACCGACTAGTTGTAGAAAATTCGAGTGTGGAGTTTTCTAGAAAGCTTAATTCTTCTATTCGATACTAGATGGCGCCATTGGGAGAGTTCTAGAAAGATCTTAACGCTCCTATTTCTGCTGATTGATACCAGATGGCGCTAATAATCATCCGCCCTATACCGGGCACTAATTATAGCGCGCAACAATACGTTATCTGGTACTAAGAAAGTTCCGCATTGTTCAGGCCGATTGATGAGTGCAGAGCCGATATATTAGCACTGGTGGTACTGTATTTTTACTAGTTTGTGGATCGGTTGCCAAAGCCACACCCATTGATCAGCAGGTTCCACTGCGTTCAATTGAGGTCAATATTTATAAAAGAAACTTTATTTCCACCATTGTTTTATGTGGTAGATTCATGCTACTGCTGTATTATGGTGGGGCGTTGGCAGGAATGGATTGGCTTGACCGGGGAAGTGCCACTTTCTCACAGAATACCAGTATGAAATAGCAGCTTAATGCTGCTGTGTTTCATATGAAAAGTGTAGTGGACTGAATACCTTTTTTACTAGAAACGAGGCATTCCATCCTATCCTTAGGGGTGAAAACGCATTCGCATTTCAATTTGTAGTTGAGAGTAGATATAGATGTCTATGGGCCACAGCATCTACTTGCAATCAGGTGGATTGTATGCTTGTTTGTCACACTTATTCTATTTAAAAAACATGGTATTAGTAGATAGTATAACAAAATCAGTCATTGTACTTTACACCGTGGCTTTTTATGTCTCCTCACTACTGACATGAGCCTCTGCGATTATATCTTTATAATGTTATAGGCGCATGTCATATATATATATATATATATATATATATATATATATATATATATAATTATATCCATATATCTAAATTAGCAGACGGTCTTAGTTCTGCAGCATACGCTCTAAAAAAATTAGAAGTATCACCAATGTTTAGACAGCTGGATTGGTTTATTTTAGTTACTTTGATAGCATAATGTCCTTATCGAATCTTGCTATGGAGTAATGCGACTGACATTGAAGTTGTAAAAAGAGAGCCGTACGGGCGATTTATAACTTAAATTGTTAAGACTCCTTTAGAATTTTTTTAAAAGAAATAAGCATTAACTTTGGCATCGCAATATATAAATATGAAAATGTAATCTGTGTACATTACAAAATAGCTTTAATAAGAATAAAGATGTTCATACTTTAAACACTAGGAACAAAGATAAGTTTATAATACCAGTTACTAGTCTTCACAGAATTAATTTATTAATGGGGCAATGTATATATGCCAGAAATCCCAGAAAATGTACAAATTTGTCATTAAACAAATTTAAATGTTTTATTGAAGAAAACTTGAACCTAAAGGGTTATTATAATATCAAATAATACATAAATGAAAATAACCCTTGGTAAAGAGGTGATCGCTACCATGCTGGTTCTATATAAAATCTTTTAAAAATTGTTGAAACAAAATTATTGTAAAATGAAATATGTTTAAAAAAAAAGTCCCGCTGGGTTTCTTGCTGGTTCTTGCCAGGACAGAGGTGTTTTCTGAACCAGTGGAAAAATGACTTTTAATATATAGTGTTATGCAATAATCTATATTGGATAAAAATCATTCAATTCATTTCATTAGATCTCTGATTAAGATGCTGGGTAACAAGATTGCTGGTCTGGGTATTTTGCCATATATTTATCCATCAGATAATAATAGATAGATATCTGAGATATCTTCTTGACACCTCCAATTCTTGTCTGGTGAACTGTTAAAGGGAGTTAGAGTAAAATTCTTAGTAATTCTAGGGTCTAATGTTATGCTTTTTAGGCTGAACACACACAGAATACACAATAGAATGGCTGTCAACGTTATTTTGTACGATGATAGGCGTCGCCGGAAGCAATTATGTCGTATTATCAGTTATTCACTACTTCAAATCCGATTCGCTGTGTTGAGAGACGGATTTTAATACATATTTATTTGTAAATAGCGTGCAATTTGGCATTTTCTAAATAATTTGCATGCGAAATTTGGAAACGATTGTACCGTCAAAACACATCTTGTGTTGACATTTATACGTGTGAATTGATGTGTTAGTGGCATTTTAATGGCTACATGGGCTTCCGCACACTCACCCGTTCTATTATGTATGTATTATAGTATTCTATGTGAACACACCAGTTGGCTTTGAAAGATTTGTCTATACTCATCTACTTGTGCAGACAATATGGTGAAAACGGGAAAAAGTTTCCTATAAGTAATAAATAATTCCTCGAAATATTTAAAAAATAAAAATTATAATTATAAAATTATAACTAAAATATTTAACTTGAAATATTCTGGCTAGTGACCAGAAATAACAATTAGACATAATTAAGTTACGACAAAACTTGCCAATTTGTGAGAGGCCTAAGCTAAACAATGAATTGGTAATAAATTAGTTCCGGACAAAATCATTATTACATGTCATCGCGGTGTCAAATTAGTCACGAGATAGGCAGCAGAATCATCTTCTGCCGCGGCCACATACATCGCGATAACGCGAATATTCGCGCATCTCAATGTATGTGGCCGTCCATTCGTGAATACTTCGTGACTTCGTGCGAAGTTCCCAAGTCCCAAGCACTTCAATTCACTGTCGGTAAACTCTCGCACATCAAAGCGTTTTATCGCGATGAACTTCGCTTGTGTAGCCACACTTCACTGTGCTTCTGTCGGCCCACAGACATCAAAAAGTGTAAGTAAATTAGAGATTGCGGAGTATTTTCGACAATAATAATGTTTTAAAGTAATGAGAAGATGCATAATTTGAGGAGTCTAAAGCTGTCCCCTGTTGCCAAAACGTAGTAAAAAATAATTATTCGATGCCATATAATGATATAACACAGAGCGACCGCGGCATCCATTTTGTGTTTAGTGTATGTTTATCGCGACAAACTAACGATGAACTTTACAACACGCAGTGTGGCCAGGCACCATCGCCGTGGACTATAATTCAATCGCGATGCCTGTGACCTAAGCATTCGTAACAACAACTCGAAATAATTAAGAACTTATCATGGCAAATATACCGTTTCTATGTCTACTGTTTAGCATTGGGCTTTGATAGGCAGTAAATAATGATGAATAATTGTGATGATTTTGTTCCAAACATTGTTATTCGAAATTTGGTTTTGCTTTGTTGTAGGGATGTGCTATTCGACGGTTCTGCGAGTGGCAGAGCGTTGCGGGCTACGTACTCTCTCCCAGTTGATAGGTACATTTTTATAAATTCAGTACCTCAGATAGTATTATACACAGATTGCGGCACGAATCTTGACTTGCGCACTAGTCGATTTAGGTTAGAGTTACCAGATGACAGGAATTTTCCTGACATGTCTGGAATTTTAGCCTTCTGTCAGGGGAACAGGGAAAATTTGAAATTGTGAGGATTTTTTTTAAATAGAAATTAATAAATAATAAAATAATAAAAAGTTTATTCACAAAAATAATGATAAATGAATCAAATCTCAACTGTTAAATTGTTAGATTAATCAGATCTGGCTCGTACTTTTTATTCTTAGATATTGGACATAATATCAAACACCTGTGCGAGTTTTTACGATTAGATATTTTTGCAGCATGTTCGTCGGTTAATAAATTTATTGGAAAGCATTTTACCAGGAAAACTCATTAACTGATCTGGTAACCCTAATTTATGTGAAGTTCTAGAGCGCGAGATGGATATGGGTGGTAGTAAATTGTCATTTATTGTATGTTCACGTGTCATTCGCTTGCAGAGAAATTTGTATGCGCAAAATTATCCACCCTGCAGCAACTTTATGTGCTATCTATGCTACAAAACAATTGTATATTAGGAATATTATTTAGGTTGTAAAACTTTTTATTACCGCTGTTTATTACTAAGTATAAATGAATTAAATAGATCTCAAATTATAAAATGTTTGCTTTAAAAAAAGCAACTTTTGTACAGTTGGTATATTTCTAGCTAATAAATAAAGGCACCTTTTCATATGATGTTTGCATTTAATGAGTTTATTTTTTAGTTCACATTATTGGCATTAAATAAGTCGTTTATTTTATATTTTATAAGTATTCCTCTATAACGATATAATTTGCACTTGAGACTTTTATTTGATTATATATTTTATTTGATTATATTTTTTTTCTAATTGCGCATTTTTTTGACAGTTGGGAAACCAAACACGATTTAGATAGTATTATTGTGAAGAATCAAAAGAGGAGAGTTTCAAAAACACAAAATATCAACGAGTTGCCACTTAAGCATTCTAGTTCAAGGTAAGTATTTACAATGTTATGTAACTATCATTAACTGTATTGCTTTCAAATGTAATAGTAATTATCTTTTTATATAACTAGCCAAATCAATCAAGATGCCAATGAGTCTTCTCCCGATGAAAGTTGGAATGTCAACAATACCAACAAATATCAGTCAGGGGTAGCTGTGCCAAACAAAATCACAGCCGATGATTTGGCCAATGAGCGGCTGTGGTTGAAGTTAGACAGGGATTATATTATAATGGAAAGAAATAAGGTACGCGTGATGTTATATTGTTTTATAGTTTTATTATTTATGGTAGATTTGCTGTATGGGAATTAGTAATAAAAGGTTTTTGATTCAATATAGATTAGATACTAAGTAATAATTATTGAGTCATTCTTATATTCAATTTATCACTGGTTCGGAAAATACCTAGGTCCTGAAACAAACCAGCAAGAAATCTAGCAGGACATTCATATATATTGGGTATTTATCTATGAAATTGCCGTTTTTTATGAAATAAGATAACGTAATTTTTTTCTATATTTTTTATTTCTATTAATCAAAGTAATCACCCATGCAAACGATGCATCTTTGCCAACGCTTGGCAGTTTATTGGTGCCCTTCTTGAAGTAATCAGCTGGACGAGAGGCAACGAATTCTTCAAATGCCTTTTTCATTGCCTCTTGGGTATTGAAATTTGTTCCCGCTAAAAAGTTATCGAAATTCTGGAAAAAGTAGAAGTCTGAAGACGCAAGGTCTGGTGAGTACGGCGGATGACGGAGAACTACCAACCCTAGATCTTGTACCTCGGAGACGATCTGTCATGCAGTATGAGGTCGCGCATGGTCTTGCGAGAGCAGCGGGAACGAGCGATTGAACAAAGCTGGTTGGAGACGTGCGAGCTTCTCCGTCGTTGTGTTCAGTTCATCACAGTACACATCTGCAGTAATACTCATTCCGTTTGGTAAGAAGCTGTGAAGAATCCCACCGGCGCTGGACCATCAAACAATGACTATCACTTTTCTTGGGATAAGTTTTCGCTTGGGGCATTGATTAGGTGCTGAACCAAGACCTAATCAATAACCACCCCTGAGGTCTAAGATGGAATGCCTTGTTGGAAACGCGTAAAAGGCATCTCTGGTTTCTCTACACCCACTATACAGAACAGTAGAAAAACTGCTATTTCACGCTGGTATTCTGTGAGAGCGTGGTTCTTCCCCGGTCGAGCCGACCCATTCGTACCAAGTATATCTGTAATTTTTATATATTTATTAAACTATGCAGAAACGGGAGCGAGAGCTAGCAGAGTCGTTAGCGAGTAGTAGCGAGGAGTACCTACGGAAAGTCAGCGACTGGAATCAAACGGACACAGAGGATGTGAACTTGACTAATGCCAGGTGTGTAAATATTTGCATATTACTGGAATAGATAGCTTCAGCTTTCAGATTGTTTGATATTATATTACGGATAATTTCTCATGAAATATTAGACAGTAAATATTTTATCTAATGGGAACTACTGCCCCGTGCACATATCCCAATTTGAGTCTCTGTTGCTCAGACATACCAATTTTAATCTGCTGATCTTTACGCAGGCGAACGTCACCACAATTGTATCAGCGCAGCCTCTCAAGTTTGCTGAGCTTACCTCCGGTCCGTCGGTCGCCAAGAGAACATGCCAATCAAACAAATCGCTCTCAAGAACACAACTCGGATGCAAGTATGTTTAAAGTTAGTCATAAGGAGTAGTATAGATTATAACCACTTTTGTGCACCGAAATCAAACACCGCATCTAATACACCTTCTCTCAGCGCGTACCGTTCGTTGTCGTCCTGGATACCTGCTATGATTGTCATTTAATTTAAGTTACAAAGTTACGTTAAGTTAGAAATTGCAGTTAAAAATACTTAAATTTGTAAATTTTGTATTAAAAATAGAGCAATATGTATATCATGTCTAAAAACCTAAAAGCTTCTGAATTTTTACTAATGATCTCAAAAAAAGGTAAAAAAATTGCGGATGGTAGGTATATTATTTTATTCCGTGATAAAAACTATTTTTGTATGCCAAACTTCATCAGAATCCATTTATGATTGCGCAAAAACATCCATGCTTTCGCATTCGTAATCTTAGTTTGATGTAAACCCTCCCTAGTATATTATTATTGTATCTTTCATATTGAAAATGGCTATTAATATATTATAATTGTGCTTACACACAATAATATATTATATATATTAACCGATTTAGTAATTATTATTAGGTTGGCAGATAACTAGTTTGCCACTTCGTATTATGGAGGAGTCTTTGAATTAGGTATTTCTACACCCAAAGATGGCGTTAGGTGGCACGCAAGGTTAAATACAACATGGAACCAGACGCAAGTTTTATTTCCAATATGAAGTACTCAGGTGTTATAAGTTGAAAGTTACAGCGTGTTTATGTCCCACTGCTGGGCACAGGCCTCCCCTCATTTCTGAGAGGGTTTAACTCAGGTGCTACTTTTGGCAAATCAATTATATGGTTGCGCGCCATAATTAGTGCCTGATACATGGCGAGTTACCACTAGCGCCATCTAGTATCGAGTAGCAGAACTTGGAGAGTCAAGATCCTTCTAGATATTTCCATGCCAGAACTTTCTACACCTAGTCAGTCGGGGCCGGTATGTACTCAGACATTCCAGATGTTTTAGTGGAAGTGGCCCTATATAAGGCCGGTATCAACCGCGACCCCAGTCAGTATTGAATTAGCGATACAAGCGAATATTTCGAAGCGATGTAACTGCGAACTAAAGTGTTCAGTAGTACAATTGTGTTTTATTATTTGTGTGTTTAAAGTGTCAATTTTGGTAATTCTATCGGCAGTTTTTATTGTCACAAACCCCAAGCTCGTAACAATTGCTGTCAGAAGTGGGATTAAATAATGCTGATTTTACCTAAGGACGACACGGAGGATATCCGAACCTGAAGTCATCGCCAGCAGGAGACGGACCAGAGATAATTTGGTGGTGCAACGCCGCAGACGTCGGAGGGCCCAGCTGCCGACCACAGAGGCCGGCCGGTCAGCAGCTCCTGCATCTGCAGCACCTGACTTAGGTGCTCTGATGATGATGGTGCAGGAGTAGGCCCGCCGACAGGAGGAACAGGCCCGTCGGTTACAATAGCAGCTGCAGCGCGGTCAGAAAGAGCAGATACTCATCAGGTTTGGGTTCGACAATATGATGACTGATGTGAAGAAAACGCTGGACGACCTCAAACTGTGGGATGGAATTACAGCTCCCGTGGTATTACAGTTAGTAGTAGTTAGTTACAACTTTGCTACGTGGTTTCGAAGTTCCTGGTCGGCCTACAAAATCCAGTTCGAGGTAGTCATGAAGGCGAACGGCTGGAATAAAAGTTAGGCCGTGACTGCTCTCACCCTAGGTCTGCACGAAATTAGCCTTAACATTTCTGGAACCTCTCGGTAAGGAAGTGAGTTACGAACAGCTTGAGGCGTTGGAGGCGAGATATTTCACTATATACGCTTACCTAGAATACGTCTTTCGTGCGCAGCTTAGAGATTGCGTGCAACGCAGTAACGAACATCTGCAGCAGTGGGCCCTTGAGGTGGAGAAGCTGGTTCGAAAAGCATACCAGTTTGTACCTGCACTAATTTTAGGGAACCTGGTACAGACGTTCATCGACGGCATCCGCAACCTTGAAATCAGAGCTGCTGTGAGGCTCGGGTACCATGTGACGATTAAGGATGCTTTGGCCCATGCACTGGAGGTGGAAGCCATTCGGCAGGATCATCATTCCCATCATGTCAGGAAGGTTGCAGCAGCTACAGTTCGCGACCGCAATAAAGGATACAGCCCTAGCTACTACGGCTGTGGGGAAAGGGGCCATCTTCGAACTGTAGAAAGGAAATGTAATCGATCTCGAGAGGGCAGTGCGGCCAACAGCACCGCGCAACAGCAGCAGGGAAACAAGTAAAAGCCAGGACTGCGGAGCGGGTGCTGGCTGGTGTTAAAAGAGCCCCAAGGATGTCAATCTCACAAACCCATGATGGGAACAGCCTAATCATCAAGGGCGAGGTCAACGGAATGCCGTGTAAACTGACCATAGACACTGGAGCCTCTCGCACGGTTGTCATTTCCTAACTTATAAGTCAGTTCCTTGGGGACTCCGCATACAACAGAAAACGCATTAGTTTGGTTACAGCCACCGGTCAGCCATACCCGTTCATGGAGAGAAGCAGATGGAGATGAAGCTAGGCAACATGATCTACCTGCATAATGTTATCGTGGCTGATATAATGGACGACTGCATCCTGGGCCTAGACTTTATGAGAAAGTATTGTTGTAAGATCGACGTTAAGCAAGGTGTTTTGAAACGTGGACAAGAGGAACTTTTTGTAGAGGAGTCGTTACCAGGGAATGTGTACAGCCTTAAGAAGATAGTTCTTCCGTCGAGATCGGATACCATTGTGCCACTTAGTCTTCCTCGGAATCCTGGGAAAGCTCATCGTTGTGTACTCGTGGAAAGGGTAGACAGACAATGACCTTCCATGGAAAGTGGCTCGAACCTTGGTCAGAACCACTGACATCTCGGGAGTACGTGTGCTGAACCTTTGTGATCAGGAACAGATTTTAGAAAAAGGCACACTGATTGGTACTTGTGAGGAAGTGGATTGGTTGCGTCGGTGCCAATATCTATAGAGTGGGACCTCCAGCAAGGATGCTCAAACGAGAGTGACCACACTTTTGAAGACTGTCTCAGCGTTCTATCTCCGAATGAAATGTTCAAGGCGAAGAAATTGTTACTCAATTACGCCGATGTTTTCTCGTCAAACGATGCTGACATAGAAAAGACTGGCTTAGTTTAACACACAATAAACACAGGAGAAGAATTGACTATCCGTCAGTGGTCAAGAAGATTGCCATTAGCACGTGAAAAAGAAGTGAAAATCATGATTGAGGGTATGTTGAAGGATAGTCAATTCTTCTCCTGTGTTTAACACACAATAAACACAGGAGAAGAATTGACTATCCGTCAGTGGCCAAGAAGATTGCCATTAGCACGTGAAAAAGAAGTGAAAACCATGATTGAGGGTATGTTGAAGGATGGTGTTATTGAACCTTCATCTAGTCCATGGTTTTCATCTGTGGTGCTGGTAAAGAAGAAGGACGGCAGCATGCGGTTTTGTGTTGACTACCGCCGTCTGAACGACATTACAAAGGACAGTTATCCCTTTCCAAGAATTGATGACACGCTGGAGATACTTACAGTAGTGAAATGGTTTAGCACGCTGGACCTGAAAAGTGGCTACTGGCAAGTTGATATTGACCCTAAGGTCATGGAGAAAACTGCGTTCTTGACGGGAAAGGGTCTGTGGCAATTTAAAGTTATGCCGTTTGGATTGTGCAATGCTCCAGCAAAGTTTGAAAGGTTGATGGAATTTGTAGTTATCGGGCTAATTGGCGTTGCCTGTCTGGTCTACTTAGATGACATTATCATCGTAGGCAGTACGTTTGGGGAACGCCCTCAAAACCTGGAACGCGTGCTCATGAATATCTAGAGTGCCAACTTCAAGTTAAGTCCGAAGAAATGTTCACTATTCAAACGGCAAGTTAGTGTTTGTTAATTACACGTCACATTCTGAATGAAAACGATTTAAACAATATTATTAATTTTTGTGATGATAGTTGCGCCACAGGGTCCCGGGGCTCCCGGTTTCGGGAATAATAACCCCAAAATTTTTGGGTGCGAGAATAACGAAAGATATTCTGGGTTGATTCAATTGTTGGACTGTATCTGCGTAGTTCGTTATAACCAAAACAAAATGGCGGACGCGGCACGTGGCGCTTATCCAAGATACATTAAACATGTTACCGTATTCACGAGCACTAAAAACGTATGTGTTAGGCATTATTAAGACAAAACAAGAAACACTAAACGTAACAACAAGTAATACAAGTAATTAAACAAACTGAATATTTTGAATAAAACTATTATTTACGGATTTTATCGCTTTTTTTCGTATTATCGTGGTATCGTTTAATTACTTTAATTTATTTTTATTATCCCGACGTTTCGGGTGCTTTCCAGCACCCATGGTCACGGGGGGGGGGGACTGAATACTGTGTAAACAAGTTGGTTCACTCAAATTTTCATCTTTAGCCACTTCACTAGGACAGAGGACGAAAAACCATTTTCTCTATTCGTATCAGAGTCAACACAAACAACCTTTCGGCGTTTCGTTTCAAAATGCTAAATTCCCCTGCGGGTGTACGCTACACGTGGCAACTTTTGACAACGCGGTGCCGCCTTTGGCAAGATGTGGCACGTGCCGAGGCGGCGCGACACAGAGACGACCGTATCTTGGCGAACGGACTATACAATAAAATTACAACTTGCACTATTTTTAGAATCTATACAAGTAAATTCTAAAAATAGTACACATCACAAAAAATTTTATTATTACTAATTAACGAATTAATTGTGAATTCAAATGTGTTTATCTAACCAACGAAATCTCAGTAATTAAATGCAGATTTTAATCCCATTTCGTATTATATTTGTAGGTATAACATGTCTCTATGCGCACGACAACCGTGATTAAAAAAAATGTGCAAAAAAGATAAGTGTGACATTTACTGCATAGCAATTCTATAATTCTATTGATACTTTTGATGCTAGGTTAATTGCAGTTTATGTATTAAATTAATATTTTACTATTATGGTAGGTCTTGTATGACATTTATAAATATTATGTACAGTTTCGAACGAAGTGAAAGAAAGTTCGCTGTTGAAGAAAAATTAGTTAGTAAGTTATTATCAGATTATTAGATATATACGGATGTAAAAAAAGCAAGAGAGGTATATCAGGATTGTGCCAAATAGAAATCTGTAGCTGCCTTCTCTTGGTGACAAGCTTGCGAGTTAATATATATTATCACATTCGACGCAACCCTAGTTAGGCCAAGCCACTCGGTACGTAAATTACACCACTGTTGATGTGATAGTGTAATGACGTCATATATTTTATAGTAGTAGAATAGAAAAATAATTATCATTTTTATATATTCATTGAACTTAAAATGGAAAATAAATCGATTTTTACACTTCTAAAAGTAGTTTGGGGGCTTCTACTAAGAATTTTTTTGTCAAAAAATGCAACATTTTTGGCTTGATCGGGGATTCGAACCCGGGATCAGCAGCCGTGTATACAACTTCTACACTAACGAGGCAGTCAAAGAGCGTAGCTCGGTAAACAAAATAATCGATTACCGGTATCACTAAAAGTTTTAAGCTAACATATGTATACGTATCGGCACGAGTCGTGAGCATAGCCGTGACATGAGACATGGGGTGGGTACGGTGAACATTCTTTCATGTGATTGGTCCGCTAGTTAATCTTTGCCATCACTTTATTTACTGTCATTTGCGTGTAGTATATCGGCTGGAAATATGGCAAAACCACGCTGCAGCTATATTGGGATTGTAGCACTAGTGGGGTCAGTTTGGATGGAGGATCTGTGAAAGCGTGGTCAAAGTAAAATAACAGCTTAATGCTACTATGTTTCGTATGGTTAGTGTAGAGAACCGTTGACCGGTGGAAATCAGTTCATTCCATCTTATTCCTCAGGGGTGACAATGTATCTGCATTTTAATTTTTAATCGAAGATAGTAGTTACATCCTATGTTCGATTAAGAATCAATCAGTCTATGGGACTGAGTGCTCTTTTAACAAATTTATTCTATTCAAAAGAGCGATCTTCGCCGCCACGAATACAAACGGTAATTGTTCGGCAGCAACGAACGCGACGGCGCAACGTTCGGCAGAGGGCGTGGCTGGTGGTGCTGGCAGTGGTGGTGGTGCGCCCGCGCCGCCGGCCCGCTCGTCGCGTCGCTCGCCGCGCGCTCTTGCGGCCGCGCCGCCCGACCCCGAGCGCGCAGACCGCACCGATGCGCCGCACGCGCTGCCGCTACCGCTGCCCGCGCCGCTGCACGCGCCGCTGCCCGATCGCGATAGAGACTTGTACGTTTTGTTGGTTTTTTGTATACTAGCGATCCGCTCCGACAGCGCCACTTGCGAATCTAAACCATTCTCGAATCAACACACTCGAAATTTCACCAAAATCGGTCCAGCCGTTATAAGGTGAAATGGAGATTAAGAGCACCAGCTATATTTTGTTAACAACTTTTTTGTTTGATAACAACTCAAAAAAAAATATGATTGCCAAGCCGGCTACCAAGCAAAGCAACTATGGCATGAAGCAATCTATATTTGCCTAAGTTTAAGGCCTAATAAAGGTAACTACCGTGTGGCCGAGAGCTGGAAGTACTCAGCTACTAATCTTACCTCGTTCGCTGCTCGACCCAGACAGCGACTAGAACCTTGTGCATTTCTATTGTTAGCCGACATTGAAGTGTGTAAGGTGTATTACGTCATATGTGTATAATATGACGTAATACACCTTACACACTTCATACTAATAGTGGTTGGTAGTTCATATTAATACTTATAGTGGGTCAACTCGGCGATTAAATGAAGCAACGATAGGGAGCGGTATGAAGGGGAGCGAAATACCCCCACTGCCCGCGACGTCTGCGGTAGTACCGGCCGACTTCGCTTGCGTACCAGTACGCCCGTTTAAGTGTCACGTACGTGGAATCAGTTGCAGGCGTTTGGTGTTAACCCAAAAACACGATATTACACATCATTTTTATTATTTAATTTTATTGAAAGTATTAGGAGAAGATTGTATGACACCTTAAGTAAAATTGAATTCTTACAACGATGTGATTGTTTTCCATCGCGATTTTTAATTGGATTTTTGTTTAAGGATGACAATCCATTATGCAATCAAATTCTACAAAAGACAATTAAATATCGTAATATTTGTCGGTTGCAGATCTGTACTAGAATAAATAAAACAGGTTCTCATTATAACAACGTGTAACTTTAACCTGTTTTATTTATTCTGTTCAACCCCCTATCCAATATTTTAAGCGGAATACCTGAGATACTGTTACATGGGTAAAATATAGTAAAATTAGGTAGGTAACTAATTAAGTAGGTATGACTACCTACCTGCACAAGCGCAAGCCTTTGTTTCCATTACAACGAATCAGATGAAGCTGCGGGGCGCAATTAATTTTGTAAAGTAGTAATTATACTCTCCAATTACGAAGTCCCATTTGACAGATGTCAATAATCAAGTACTAGTAAAGTACCGCTATAGTCGATACTTGACGATATTGATCTTCGATTACTATAACGAACATATTAAAATCGTATTGACAGAAAAAGGATTAGCATCAAATTAAAATTTATAAAACTGTTTTTTAATTTTAATTAGATAATATTACATGATATTTTATCAAGATGGAACATATTCACCATCACTAGCCGAAATCGATATTTCATGGTCGGCATCGCCGTCATCACCCTCATCATCGTCTGTAGAATCCCCTGTATTTATTATAATTTGGTTATCTATAACGGCATCGATATGTATGTCTCTGTCCCAATCAGCGAAAATCAAATGTTTTGTTCGTAAAACCACACTATCCTAATTCGCGGCAGTAACACTATCACAAGCTTCTTGCAACAATGACAGCATTTTGTTTGCAGTAGACGGTGGGCTGGTATTTTTACGAGCCGCATAACCTAAAATAAAGGTTTGCGTGTTAATATAGAAACAGATAAATTGTTAAAATAGGTAAAAATAAATTATAAAAAAGATTTGTTTAAATTCCTGCCTTTAATTTGCGCCCAAATCAATTCTATGGCACTGTATTGACAATGGTAGGGTGGAAGGCGTGTAATGGGCCTTCCACCCTACCATCCAATACGTATTTTGGTGTAGCTGGCTTATTTATAGCAACCAAATGCAGCAGCTCAACTTTTAACATGGACATGTCAGCAACAATATTATTGTCATTCAGCCATTTCACAATATCGGCTTTATTGCTGCTAGAAGTTGAGGCTTACTTATTTGTACTGAGTGATACGGTGCATATTATCAATAAGGTACAAAACCATTCCTTAAATTTAACAAAATTCATCTCTTCGTGGTATTCCACAGTTTTCTTAGATTTAAACGCCAAGAGGCAGTTCGGAACAAATCCCTTCATGGAACCCGCATGACAAATAATTAAGCGTTCGCCTTTGCCACTAGGTACTTCTGTGGAGGAGTGAGGAGTGTCGTCTGTCCATATCTTGCCTACTGTATGATTAGCGTTTAGCCACGTCTCATCTAAAAATATAACATTATTCCAAACGGCAATGGACTTTGCTGATCTTAGAAAATTAAATCTGGCTAAAGCTATATCTCTACGTTTCATCAAAATCCGCCTTTTATCACATTTTTTATAAGAAAAGCCAACATTTTTTAAAACCCTCCAGAAAGAAGTCTACTGCCGTGAAACAGTCCAGAATCTCGTAAAGTATTTGACAATTCATCGAGATTCGGCAATTCGTTCCTACTATGGTAGCCATAGATATGGTTTCTAATGGCGTCGTTATCAAAATTGTCGATAGGTGTAACTATCGATCTTCTAACTTTTTTCTTAAGTGGCGATTTTAATTTGTTATCTTCCATTAAATCTTTACCATGTTTTTCCTTACTTATTCGGGAAACAGTTTTTCGACTGATACCAAGAGCTGCACTTACTCGGTTAGACACTTGTGAAAGTGGCAACAATGGACCACCATTCTGATACTCTCTATGAAAAATTATATTAGAGAGTATAATTTTCAAAGTAATCTTGTAGGCGTACTACAAACTCAGAGTTCTTTTATGGTAAGTTTGGAAGTGTATATAAATACAAAAAAAACTAAGCCACTTATCAGAAAGAATTATCAAAAGTATAACTACATAAAAGAAGAAACACAAAATCAACTAAACTGAACACGCGTATCGTATACAAAGCACTCGTACTGAAGAGACAAACAAAATGGCGGTCGTGATCACGAGGTGGACGCAGTGTTGACAGATTTTCACTCGCGAAAAGAATCTGTCTATAATCGATTTTATACGATTCTTTTAGTCACGTCACTATGTAAAAAAGTAAAAATAAAACTATAGAACGTAAACGCAAAACGGCAGTAAAATATTATTATCTTTTAAAGTTTTAATTATTTTGAGCACGATGTCTAAAAACAATATGTTGATTGTGTGTGTGTGTGTGTGTGTGAATTAATTGTATAATGATTTAGATTGATTGTGTATTTTTAAATGATGAACGACATGAAAAAAAAGATTATTATTTATGCGAAAGTGAGGTTTCTAAGAAGTGTCAAAAGGGACTTCGTAATTGGAATAGAGTATAGCTTGTGTCTTTGTCACAGAATAAATAATAGTACTACTCGTACATACAGAAGTTGCACTCCTTTGATGTTGACTGCTTGCCGACGTTTAATAGCCTTATTAGTTAAAAAATTTAACATAAAACCAGCAGTGGAACTTCAGATACCTAACATCAGTTAATGGGGGTCAATGTTCGCGCGACGCCATATACGCGCGGCTCATGAGTAATTTATCTACTCAAAAGCGCGCGACCGCAATCGTATCAATACCTAATGATTTACAATATTTGTCTACATACTACCTTATTATAATATTTATTAAATTTTAATTGTAATACTAACTTGTTTACTTAATCTACTATTTGACCACTGTGCTAGTCTGTACCTAGCCACTTTAATTCTAATTCACAGGTTAAGCAAACCAAATACCTGGTTCAATTTCCCGCAAGACCTCATATTCTCCGTAAAGAATGATTTACACTTCGACAAGTATAGTAGCGAGTTTAGTTACAGGGCAGTGGACAGTAAACGGTTAAGTGGGCAGTAGCGTTCAAACAATGTCTTCGTGCTATAACAAAATGGCATAAACTACATAAAATTCAGTCTGTTTTTGCTGATTTGTAAGTTACGACGCGTTCTTAATTTTTTTCATTATTGATTTTGTCTATTAATATTTTTTTATAAAAAATATTTATATGCCATTGAGACATGATTAACTAATTTTCGGAATGGCTGAATCGATTGTACGAGGGTGGATTGAAAAGTACTCGGCCTAACCAAGAAAATAAACACATACTAAATCAGTTATATTTTTATTTTTCTACATAATCACCATCAAGTTCAATACACTTTTGCCACCTCCCCTTCCAAGCATTTAGACCGTTGAAAAAAAAATGATTCTTCCTTAGAGTCAAAATATGCGTCTACAGCTGCTTTGACCTCGTCGTTTGTCGAAAATCTTTGACCTCCCAAGTGCTTTTTTAGGTTAGGGAACAGAAAGAAGTCTGATGGTGCCAGATCAGGTGAATACGGCGGATGCGGTAACAGTTCAAAGCCACAGTTGTGAATTTCAGCCATTGACTGTACTGACGTGTGAACACGGGCGTTATCTTGATGAAACAGGACTTTTCTTCTGAGCATTCCTCGACGTTTTTCTTTTATTTTCTCTCGTAAACGACGTAGTAAGGTGCAGTAGTAATCAGAGTTTATAGTCTGACCCCTTTCAAGATAATCAATCATAATCACACCTTTCGAGTCCCAGAATACTGAAGCCATCACCTTATTTGCCGACAAAATCGACTTAGCCTTTTTAGTGGGTGGTGAACCAGGTCTTCTCCACTGTTTTGATTGTTGTTTTGTTTCCGGTGTACAGTAATGAACCCATGTTTCGTCCATAGTAACAAAACGATTCAAAAAATCATCTGCATCGGCTTCAAATAACTCCAAACAGTCGCGTGAAATAGTCAATCGCGTCCTTTTTTGTTCAACTGAAAGCAGTCGCGGAACCCACCTCGCAGACACCTTGTGGAAACCCAACTCGTTGACAATGATGTTTTGAGTTCGTTCATAAGAGATGCCTATAATCTCGGCTATCTCTCTAATTTTTAATCTGCGGTCTCCCATTATTAAATCAAGTACTTTTTTAATATTTTCGTCAGTAGTTGACGTCGAAGGCCTTCCAGAGCGGGGTTCATCTTTCACACTCTCTCTACCACGCTTAAATTCTGCTATCCATTTTTTGACGGATGAATATGACAGAGCACAATCGCCTAATGTACTGACCATGTCATCATGGATGGCTTTTGATGATAGCCCCTTCTTATGGAGGTACTTAATGACGGCACGCTGCTCGATTTGCTCCATTCGCGGAAATTATGTCCGATTACGTTGTTAATAAATTTATAAAATCACAACTAATTATCGCACACGTTTCGAATTTCACACAATGAACTAGTCTGAACTGAACTAAATAATGTGGGTAGATTTGATTTTTAGAATTGAATTGGATCTGTGTTAGGCCGAGTACTTTTCAATCCACCCTCGTAATAAAACCTCACGAACAATAGATACTAATACCACGAATTGTGTAGACTAAACTTTATCCGAAAAATTTAGTGATTCAGAGATCGTAATAAATGGTCTTTAGTGATCTTAGGTCTAAATAAATCCCACCCAAACGAAGCCAGAGCAAGTCAGTAGTTATAATTATTTACGAATATTCTCCCATTTATTGTATTGGTATTGTTGCGCGCCATAGTTGATGTCTGGTATATGGCACTAGCGCCATCTCTTATCGACTAGAAAACTCCACACGAATTTCACGATTCGGTGCAAAAGGCCTATAAAACCGTTTAGGGCCGCGACCAAGCGAACAAGCGAAGCTTCGGAGCGGAATAAAGTGAACTAAAGTGGTCAGTGTGATTAATTATTAGTGTGATTTAAGTTTTAATTGGTGTTCAGTAATTAAAGTGTCAATTTTGGTAATTCAATCGGCAGTTTTTATTGTCACGAACCTTAAGCTGGTAACAGTATGGTAGTGTAAATTAGGTGTGGCAGAAGAAGCACGAAAGCAGACTAAATGCTGTAGAAATTCGGTCTTTAAGGAGTATGCTAGGGCTGAATCTGAATGACAGAGTGAGAAATTGTGTGATAATAGAAAAATGATGCAAGATGGTGTTGTGACCAGGATTAAGAAATGAATGCTTCTGTGGTTTGGTCATGTAGAAAGAATGAACGAGGAAAGAGTGACAAAGCAAATTTATATTGCAATTGTGAACGGCGGAGTCGGGAAGGGACGCCCTAGACGATGGTTCATCGACCAAATTTGCGATATTTTGATAATGGGTCACATTAGGAATACCCTTAACCGACGAGCCTGTATGCGTAGATATATGGATGTAAAGGAGGCGAGAAAGTTGTGCCAGGATCGTGCCAAATGAAAGTCCGTAGTCTCTGCCGGGGTACATGTGGGTGACAGGCGTGAGTTTATATTGTGTATGTACGTATAATTTCCAACTAACCGAATAATATAAAGTTTTAACGATGTACCGTTATTAGAGGGTTTTCGCTATAGGTACTGTACATGTTGACGGTACGGCGGTACTGTACACTGAATACGTTTAATCCCAGAGTTATATTGTAGAAAGTATACATATTACATTCCAATTAGTTAAATAATTTTCTTGTGTAAATACCATCGCTAGAACAGACAGTGTCAACATCAAATGCCTCGTGGCCAGTAAATAAGAGCGGTTTACTTTATTAACTACAAAAAGCAATAACGCCATGCCGTTACTTTTCTTAACCGATTTTTTATTTGTCAGAACTTTTTTGTAGGTAAACCTATTTTGATAATTCTTTTTTTGTTTAAAAGCTGATGCTTGTCATGTGGTCCCATATAATTGATTCCAATCCAATGGTCCATTGAATAATGATCTAGATCTGACCAATTGTTTTTGAGTTACCCTTAATAATTTAATTGACTTCGACCACATTGATGATGTTTTTGTTCTGTATTTTCTTTCTTTGCAAGGAAAAATAATTTGAAGTCCCTAATCTCTATATTTTTTTATTTTATTTTATAGGAGTAGGGGAAACCTGTATATGGCTCATCTGATGGTAAATGACTACCCCCCCCCCCCCCGTGAACAACTGCAAAACCAGGGGAATTGCAGATGCGTTTTGGCCTTTTAAAAAGGAGAAAGCTCTTTTTTTAAAGGTCCCTAAGTCGTATCGGTCCGGAAAAATCTCCGGTGGTAAACTATTCCACAGAGAGGTCGTATGCGGAAGAAAACTCTTAGTGAAACGTACAGCGGTGGACAGCCAAGTATCCAGATGGTGTGGATGGTATCATGAGTTTTGCCGCGATTTGTGTTCATGAAATTTGGCGGCTGGGATTAATTCGAACAATTTCACAGAGCACTCCCCGTGGTAGATGCGAAATAAAATGCCAATATACATTAAATTGTCAATTTTAGAACACGAGTGGAGGCTAGTGGAGCGCGGCGACGTCGAAACTCTGACCCTGCTCCAGGAGCGCCCGAAAGGCGGCCAGACTTTCGACCCGACTTGAATTCTGATCTGCGCACAGACATACGACCAGCCGACCCACGCTCCACAGACTATATCGGACAAACTGGCAACGGACTTTTCCGCATAGCAGGACACAGGTACCCAATAATGACCAACACCCACTTGAAATCTAATAACACAAACCTGTTATTTACTTTAAAGTAAGCTTAAAAGTTATTAAATAATAAAAGCAACATCTGAGTAAAATAATATGAGAATATTAAGCATCATAATTTAAATATTATGCATCTTTATTTCTATCTTATAGTTTATAATAAAAATAATGTTATTATTGTCGCCAAACTACACATATATCTACTCTATACATATGTTTTTATTATTTTCTTGTAATCTTGTCCATCTAAAGGCTGTCTGGAAGAGATCGCTCTTAGCGATAAGACAGCATATTGTACCACATTTCTTTCTCTACTTTTTTTGTTAATGTTTATGTTTTTTTTTGGCGTGCCATAAAGTGTTATCTATCTATCTCTTTCTCATGAAGCTCATAGGATTTATATTTAAGTTTTCTTTCACAGGTTTCGTAAAGGCACCCGTTTCTCCAAAGACGATAAGTGCGTATACTGCCATCAGGCAATCGACGCGTTCGTCACTCAGGGTCAGCGATGCATCGACTGCAAACAGCTATATCACACGAAATGTATACAGAATAAGGGCGTCATCACAATGCCATGCTCTAGTCCAGTCACGATATCGCCACGAGGCCGTCACAAATATCGAAAGAGAATTATTAAAGATGCTGCTTATACGTCTCTGTCGGACCCGACTAAAAATTCCGTCAGTTCCAATTTCAGTCTTACTGGTACATCAGAGTTTATGGACAGAACGGATAAGATTATATCGGACGCGACAGAACTACAGGCCATGCAAACTTTCATCACAAAGAAGATTTATCAAATGGAGTCATCCGAAAATGAAAAACAATCTGAGGTGAGGGTTAAATAAAAAATTTACACTTTTTGACATCATATTATGATGTCAAAAAGTGTCATGTCAAAGTCATATTAAAAAAATAAAGGTTTTTATCTTTGATACATGGTAGAGCCATGTTGCTGATATAATATGGTTGCAGCATGAATGAGTTAACTCGACCGGGGAAGGACTATGGTCTCACAGAATAACAGCGTAAAATAGCAGCTCAATGCTGTTGAGTTTCGAATTGTGAATGTAGAGAACTGGAGACCCTATTTACTGGTAATGAGAAAAATACATTAAAAAAAAACGACGGGTTGCACTCCGGGAGTACCGGCAGAAGTGAAAACTTGAATATTAGTGTTGTGCATTTTTGATATTTTAGAATGGTTATGGAATAATTTTGCACGAATTGCTTTAATTATCAGTATAAAAGTACTATCATTTATGTGGTAGAATATAATATTTATTTATTGGGCTATCGTACACAAACATGATGATTTATATTACATGAAAAAGTTTATCTCTCAGAAAAATCAACTTTCATCCATAATTTCGACGACTTTTTCACCATCATTATTACCAGAACTACTATATTTTAAACACTATATACACGAATTTTACGAATACACAGCAGTGTGGCCACTACACAGATAGTCAAGCCATCAGCTGTCACCATCCATGGATGCGCGTGGCATGCTGTAACATAAACACACACGAACATTCGCGCAAACGCCCTGCGCCGCCTAAACGAATGGTGATACTTCCTCTCCTACGCCGCGCCGGCTGTCTACTTTCCATCCGTCTTACGTATTTTCGATCAGGTCACGTGTCCTGACGCGAGTTTAACATTTTTAACCCATTGCAAAAAAAGTGTACAACGCCGCTAAAGAAGTTTTCGTCTTACGAATTTTCGATCAGGTCACGTGTCCTGACGCGAGTTTAACATTTTTTACCCATTACAAACAAAGTGTACAACGCCGCTCAAGAAGTTTTCACTTCAAAAAGTAACATAAATGCAATCCCACAACCAAAACTGAATCGATATCTAATCGAATTTATAGATTTTATTTGCAATGAAAACACTTTGATTTCTTTGTGTATTATAGTTGTTGTATATTCTTGTTCTTACTAACATAGATTTAATATTGCAAGTATATCATAAAATAAGAAGTTTAGATTATGAATACTTAATAGGTGGACAGGGTATTTAAACATGCGCTACGGGAGTTCAAAGACAATCTCGTGGCGACGTATAGTGTGGTCGAGACCCGAGGATCGGCGCTCAAGTACAAGGATCTAATCGGAAATTTCCTCCACGTAATGGAAACAGTCTGCGCAAGGGAGGGCTCCACTCTCTCCATAACGATGGGAGTGAACGCCTTTAGAGGTTTCATGGACGAGTTCATGAGTCAACACGAGACCGATAAGGCCAGAACTAAAAGAAAAAAGGACAAAAAGCGGAAAGTAAGTAATAAAAGATTTGTATCAATTGGGTCTGTATGAATTTATTTCATACACTTTTATTATTTTATTTTTATTAATTTGTGGCATATTTTATTTTGTTTACTTAACTTACCACTCAAGAGCAAAGAATTCGTGTTTGAAACGCCGTTTAGTAAGTATCGCCGTGTAGTGGTGGCGTAAGGAATCCCCGTGTATCCCGTGGGTGTCGTAAGAGGCGATAGAAGAAAACGAAATAGACGATGGGTGGATGGAGAGGCAGAAGATGTGGTTGTCTACCCGTATGCTGAGCTTGGCGACTATGAAGGAGACCTGTTCTGCAATAGACTTTTGATAGATTGTTACAGTAATGGAGCGTTTACGCAACCACAGGTGCACTCTGTGTCCGTCTCCTAGTTCGATGGGGCGGCGATCACTGGAAAGACTGAAAACTGAAATAAAATGAAATTTTTAAGTTATGTTTTCTATTATATATTATTTGGTAACAATTACAGTTTAATTGTAAGAATAGTTTACAAGCAAATTGCATCTTACAATTCAGCTCTAAAACTATGTCATTGCGATATTTTAAAGTTATTCAAAGTATTTTAGAGAAATACTTAATTGTTGCAGGTGGACGAACCAATTCAGTACAAAGGGCACACATTTATTCTGTGCATGATAAACATTCCCACGGAGTGCGAGATCTGCAAGACTTTTTTCATGTGGCCTATAGAGCGGTCTCTCATTTGCCAAATGTGCAAGCTAACCTCACACAAAAAATGCTATATGAAGGTAATATTATGCTTAATTTATTCTCAGCTTGGTTTTACTCTTTAAATGCTTAAGAAGTGAATTAATAATTAATTGAATGGTACAACATAGTGTTGCATACGCGTTCTACATTCCCCCACAAAATGTATTTAATTCAGTTCGATGATAAGAGACAGTATAATATGATACAACAAAATCGAAGACTATTAATTTATGTACTATACAAATTTCGCCCTTCAATTGGTACTTGAACTACAGAACTACTACGTTTACGGATTTTATCGCGTTTATTTTTACTTTTTATTTACTTTTATTTTTAATTCCCGACGTTTCGGGCGCTTTCCAGCCAGAATTAAAAATAAAAGTAAATAAAAAGTAAAAATAAACGCGATAAAATCCGTAAAAGTAGTTTTAATCATGTATAGTGTTCGCGTAAATATAAGAAATCATTACAGAACTACTTTTGAAATTCTTATGTATTTTGCTTCTCTGATAGCTTACTAGTTTATAACGAACATTATTTTCTTTAATTATTTGATTTGAATATTATTCCTTTCTAGGTGACGACGCAGTGCAGAAAAGACTCCGTGACGCCCAGTGCCGCTATTGTTGGCGCAGTGGACATCGGCGGAAGAGAACAGTTCGGTGTCCTAAAACGGGGGAAGGTAATTTTGATTTGCATTTACTTAAATTTACAAACATTCTTTTTCGTATCTGAATAAGTGTTTAAGAAACGAGATAGAGAGTATCTTGTAGATTATTTTAAGTCACTATGCTTGAAGTCTGTTGGCTGGTAGATAATGCTAAGCTTGCCTTTTGGATATTTTGACTGCAATAAAAAATAAATAAATTCTCAGTTATATAAATACAAATTTATTTTTAGGTCTTTGGCGTGCCATTAAGCGAGCTACCGACGGGCGATGGTAATATACCCATAGTCGTAGACAGGCTCATCACAACCATCGAAATGACTGGATTGTATACGGAAGGATTGTACAGGAAGAGTGGGCTTAGTTCTAAGGTAGGAGACCTTATTACAAAAAGTAGTTTATATTTAGTGTCAGGCTTAAACTCAAATCTCTTTCACAGAAGAAGTCCCACGTAAATATGCAAATTAAAAACTTTTATATGGAACTTGACAACAAATGTTAAATTTGCTGTCAAGTTCCATATACTTGAGACTGTGGCATCTGGGCTAAGTGACTTTTTTAATTATGTGAACTATTCTTAAACCATAGTTAAAGACCTTAGACTTTCAATAAACTGCCTTAGACTTTCAATAAACTATGTTTTGTAATAAGCTTGATAAACTCTACTTAAATGAAAGTTCGCTAAGTTCCAATTTTTCGTAAGTTGTCGCCGTGGTTGAAAATTAGCCAAGAGGATATGCCTTTTTCATCACCATCATCATCATTATCATTACAGCCCTTAACAAGTCCACTGCTAAACATAGACATTCGCCTTTGCAAATTATTGACTTTGGATTGCTACTGAAAGTTTCTAGACAAAAACAATAATTGATTTTGGCCCGACCCGAGATTCGAATCTGAAATCACATAATCAGCAGTTACGACACCTTTTGGGAAATTCTCATGGATACCTTTAGTTGTGGGGGCAAAGAGAAGGTTATGCTGGACTTCTACAGACTAAATCAGCTTACTTTCGACTTGTCAAGGTTACGCTACCAAATAAATTACAGAGTTTTTTAGGATCGCAATACTAGGATGGAAAGAAACCAGCTGGTGGGAAGCGGATTGTCTCCACACGCTGTATTATGACTAGTGAATTGCATTGCCATTTTTGTGTATTGAGGTAACCTGGCTACACACATAGACCTACAAAGCAGTGATAAAATAAAGAATATTAGAAGTGCTAAAAACACTAATAATATTACCGTTAACATTATTTAAGCTTAAAATGTTTGCTTGGAATAATTTATTGATACGGACAACATTGATCTTTTAAAGAAAAAAATTTACTTATTTTATTTATTTATTTCTACCTCTGTCTTTACAGGCATTCCTAATACGACAGTGTAGGCACATAAAACTATCTTATTTATTAAGTACAGAATACAACTTATCAACTATTATAACACAACACATATAATGTCACTTTTGTGAATTCACCCAAGGAACAGCAGAATAAATCTATACCCTGTGCTACTTTATTTAGAGTGTGCAGCACTCGGGTCAGTGGGGCCTCCTTTAGAAGGTTGGTGCGTGCGCGCGGTACCGCGAACAGCGGCGGCCGCTTCCGGCGCCACACGTACCTGTCCGGCACACACAATTTAGCCATTCGCAATATCGCCTCGTTATACACATTTCCACGCAGCAATTTAAACATATGTTGCCAAACTTAATAATAATATAGTATTTTATTTAATCTTAAATATTAATTTTTATTATTTATTTACTAATTAAATTTTTTAATTATTGTTTAGACATTAATTTGACCATCTGCTAAAATCTCAGTGTATGCCAAATGTTACATATTATTTTAATAAGAATAGTCTACGATCCTAAAACAGAGCTTCTAAATCGCGCGACATGATGACGAATCAGAGCTCGAGCCTCTGCGAATCTGGGACGCATTACAGTATCTCGGCTGACGGAACAATGCGTGAGACGCATTAGGGTAAGCGCAGACCGAACTGCAAAATGCTCGAGCAAAATTTTGACTACTCGACCATGCAGGTGGCATCCGCGTGCCTCCGTGAGCAAGATCCATTGAGAGTGCTCTGGGTTGCATGACCAATTTGATGCCAAAATCCGACGTTGATAGACGTGTTCAATATGAATTGGGACTTGGTGATTATCGCCCTTTTGGTAGAGGAAGAAGAACATGAAGAACATATTAATAAAATCAGACGTCAGAAAATTAGAATAACAGTATGGGTAGAAGAAACGTGGAGATTCTTTCCCAAGCATTGGCAAGCAATCGCTGTATGTTGGACTTGATAATATATTGTACAGTACAGTACTCAAAACGCTGCACCAAATTTATTAACTTTTCTGATGATTCCGACTTATGTGACGCGCTTATAGGTATAAACTAAACACACGTTCAGAGTCCCAAACAGTTTTTTCGCTGCGGCAATAATGAGCGCAGGCGGCGGCGGTGCGAGCGCGCTCACGCATGCTCGAACATGCATCCTGCAAGCTCGAGCATGGTCGAGTATCAAGTTGGGACGTGTATGTAATTTTGCACTGTCTGATAAAAGTTATAAAATTAATATTTTAGTGTTCTCAGAAAATCCTCTGCTCTGCTCTTGGTATGCGCTGACCCTTAGTGTGCTGCAGTTTTCATCCTGCGATACCTTTTAGTGTGATTGGTCGTTCGTTTACGCATAAGGTGTATGTGTGTGCGCACTGTATAGTGGCGGTGTAAGTATGTCCACTACCCCATATCATCCCGTGGGTGTCGTAAAAGGCGACAGAGGGAAACAAATCAGGAGATGGTCTTACTAATACAGACTAAAAATAAAAAAAACACTGTGCGAGCGTGGCAACTGGCCTGTGAGGCCTGTACAGTTGGCCACAGGCTGTGAGGATGGTGCGTGCAGGTGCGCGAGCTGCGCTGGCTGCTGGACGAGCGGCCGGCGGAGGGCGTGGAGCGGCTGGACGCGTACGCGGTGCACGTGCGCGCCTCCGTGCTCAAGACCTTCTTCCGCGAGCTGCCCGAGCCTCTGCTGACCTTCGACCTCTACGACGACTTCATCCTCGCCGCCGAGATCTCCGATCCGCAGGTAAGCCCGACACATCCGACACGCCTAATCTACTCCTAGTTCATATATGGCCTAATATAACTGTCTCGTTGCTCTAGTAGTAAACGCAATTGCTGATCATGAGGTCCCGGGTTCGACGAGTCGGGACGAAAACAGTTATTGGGTTTTTCTGTCAAGAAATTCTCAGTAGCAGTCTGAAGTCAGTCAATTGGCGGTATTTCCCCTCCCCTGTGCCTCGGAGAGCAGAACCGTTGGTCCTGCGCCTAATCTCTCTCCGATCTTGTCGAATTACCATCTTATCGGGCTATGACAGTGCGGGAATGGAGAATGCTTCTGTGCTTGCGCATACATTTAGGTACTATAATACTGTCCTGCACAGATGACTAGTCGCCTTTAAGACTGTCCGCCTTGAACTAACATCTTAAAATTGAATAGCGTTTGAATATTTGCATTACTTGACGACCCTCCCCACCCTGTACCCAATTCCTATATTCGAAAAACGTTTCATTTTACGTTATGACCCGTTTAATTAAATAAGAACCATCGTACAATAAAATATATTTTATTATGAAAAAAAATATATTTGATTAACAATTCGCCTTTATTTTATACACCTAATCATAAGATTACGTCTTGCGTGCATAAACAAGTTCGAACGTTGTCCATACTTACGCTTTTACATTTTATATAAATGTGACGGGAACATTGCCCTTAAATATTCTGACGTAAGATTGATTTTCGATAATTATATCATTATAATTATATTTGAAATAGCGAGCTTCTTGAACATTCTGACACAAACGTGATGCGACACGTAACTGAATATCGTAACAATACGAATTTGAACATAGTGTGGTGGACTTCCTTTCACATACGCACACAAATATTACATGATAAATATGTCAGAAATATAATATCGGCCATTTTTGATAACATTGCAGTTCTATCATCATTACGAATATTACATGAAATACCCTCCATTTTTTTATCTTTCGAGCCCAATTAGATAACAAAAAAATTTGTTTTCCGTTATCTATTTGGGATTTGGGTTAAAGTTAAGGTTACATCTATATACGTCCCACTGACAGGGCTCAGACCTCTTACTTTTGATAGGGTTTTAGGGTAAGGAAGCATTCCCCGCGCTGCTTCAATGCGTGTTGACCAACTTCACATATCTTCGAAACGTTTTTTATTTCTCTAACATGCCGGTTTCCTAACGATGTTTTACTTTACCGTCGAGTACTTCATAAATCAGCACTTAAAATGCCAATTAACAATTTCATTGGTGCCGGCTAGGATCGAACTCGGGTTGCTCGCGTACTGAAACTGAAATTTACAGCGAGTCCTTAGCCCCCTGAGCTACCGCGACTTAAAATAAAATTTTGTTTAAATACCCATTCCATTACCAAAACTATACAAATGAGAAAGTTGACTTTCTCCTCAAATATAATGTAAATGAATATGTTTTGAAAATTAAAAATTTTTGTACAGGAACGAGTATCAAGCATATTTACAATACTTAAAAAGTTGCCGAAACCAAATTTTGACTTGGTGGAGAGGTTAATATTCCACTTAGCCAGGGTTGCCTTAGGGGAAGATCATAACAGGTAATTTATCATCATCATAAATTATATCATCTTTACACCATTAACAGAGTTTTTATATGATGGACTTTATGATATTCTATTCTATGCTATTATCACAATTTAAAGAGCTAATAGTTGTGAAACGTGTTTGATGTCCGGCGAAGCCGCCGCCCTTTTTTACGCGGCAGCGTGTATGCTAAGGGTTGGCACGAAATTGGAATAAAATAATTTTGGCTATTATAATACTCATTATCATTTATTAACATTATGTACATGCTTATAAGTTATGCATTTATTGAACAAGATTTTTATTACTACAAAAAAAAAAATACATTTACAAGTGTTGCACTGCCAAATATTTTCATGACACTTTCTTTTTATAGATATTTTCATTTTTCGATTGTTAAATTTAATTTTCTACTGTATTCGCATTTGGATAAACAATTTTATAAAAAATAAACGAGGGACACATAAGCATAGTTGTCATTTGATTCAACTTTTCTTAGTAATATAACTATATTGTAACTTTTCTTACTAATATAACTATAACAGTAATTCACCATTATAGAAATTATGTTTCCAAAACGGCATTTGAAATAAGTTACCGTATGTATTGTATAGCAGACTTAGTGGAGTGTCCTGGCACAAGGTCGTGCCGCCCCCTGCCCCTTGCCCCCCGCCGTTGCTCTGCACAAGTACATTTGTTTACCAACTGTTACTGTCTTTAAACTGTGATATTACTCTATTATGTACTAGTACTCTATTCTATTCTACTTAAATAATATTATAAATATACATAAAAATACACATATTCCTAATTCATCAGCAATATCATCATCACTGCAGTCTATCAAAGTCCACTGTTGAACTTGGACCTGATCAAATATGAATAGATCGGTTATTAGTTCACTTTTTAAAAGACTAGTACTTAAATCATGCAACACGTTCAATGACATCATTTATTAGCTATTCATTAAAACTATCTTGTTTTAATGAATAGCTAATAGTGTCACTGGAACACTAGTTTTCGCTAGTTAACACTTCAATAGATTGAGTTAAATATTACTTGAATTTTCCGTGCTATAACTGTCCCATACAAAGCAACGGTCGAATGAATGTCTTGTCTACTCGGGAAATCCTTAAATATGCTAAGAATGAAAAAAAACCTAACGGTGGTGTAATGTTGGGTCAGGATGGGTCCGAACGCGCTGGCGATCGTGTTCGCGCCGTGCATCCTGCGCACGCACAAAGTGCAGCCGGCGCAGGCGTCGCTGCACGACATCGCGCGCCAGACCGCCTGTCTCGAGGCCATCCTTGTCGACAAGATGCGCACCGTGAGTACACACACACGTGCACGTGCACGCACTCGCGCACGTGCACGCACTCGCGCACGCACACGCACACGCGCACGCACACGCGCACGCCCCGTATACAACCAAAAGTCGTTAAATGATTTGGTTAAGCTTCCTTCAGGCATGCAGTTGAATTCCGACGTTGAACTTATTGACTACCAATTGAGCTGTTTATTAAATTATCGCTATGACTAAGTCTACTACTAAGACTAGGTATGAATAGCATACTAAATAGCCTTTTTAAAGCTACTACGGCTTATAAAACATACGACACAATGTGCAATGAAAAATTTTTTTTGATAATGGACTCGAAGGTAGGTTACTTTTGCCAGTGTTCTTAAGAATTTGTTTAAAAATCATTTACAATGTGCTAATGTGTTACATTGCGAAGTTTTTGGGATATTTTGATGGCAGTTTGAACCAGCAGACGGTCGATGACGATAGTATCTCAAGGTTTCAAAGAGATAATAACTTGAAGTTCACATCATCATTTGAGCACTTGTTTCATCGTTTCGACCAATAGTTCACATGTGTCGACAGTATTATGCACAAAATCGTACCACTTACGAAGCTATTCAAATAAGAATAGGAATGCCAATGACTCGAATAGAACTGTAATTGATGACCAGAGCTTTTTTTATTATTTAAAAAAAAAATGTCACTCTTGCTACCTGCTTGAAATAAATACCTACAATCGCGCGGAACTTCACGTTGCATACGCAGTCAGGGCAAGCGACGTACTAGTTAACTACAAAGTTTTTAACACTGTTTATGTTAATAGATTCTTTGTAAATACTAGTATAAATATTTTTGTTGATTGTTTAGTATACTTGGTTATAGGATAATGTTTTAGTGTAGTTTATATGTATGTTATAGAAAATACTTTCATTAACAATTTCGAAAACATAATAATGATAAAACCAGCAAATAATTTACTAAAATTATTAACGAATGTTGGTTATATCACTCCCAGTATTTACTTATTTTTTTTTATTATGTGCGAGTAGCTATGCAGTTGTAGGGAAAGAGACCAGTATCACTGCGACGTAAAAGATCTATTGTGATCGCTGCTATGGCTATAGTTCACTGCTAAGCATTATGTCTTCAATGAATTGAAGGAGTTGCTTAGCCGTGAGTAATTTCACTTCTTCTGGGCGGAGTAGATAGTGTCCCAGATGAGTGTTACGTTTGCTCATTAAGGGTCCGCAATCGGTTAGGATGTGTAGAGGTGTTTCTTCCGTTATGGAACAGAACCGACACATCCTTGAGTTGCTTAGTCCCAGGATGGACATGTGCTTTTTAAGACAACAGTGTCCAGTAAGGGCTCTTGCCAGAATGCGCAATTTATTTTTACTTAATCCCAGGGCTTCTGAAGCGAATTTACGATCAAAAGCCCGGATTAAGGTTTTAGAATGTTTTAAGCCTGGTGTGTCAGACCAGATCTTAAGTGATTTATTGTGATAAAGAGTTTCAAGGGTCAATCGGGCTAGGCTTCTTGAGATTCCACAAAATGGCTCGGGTCCAAATTGTGTGCACTTTGAGCCCTCCCGTGCGAGTTTGTCGGCAAATTCGTTGCCTACAATGCCCTCGTGACCCGGAACCCATCTTAAAACGACCCTGTTGTTACAACCCAGGGCGTTTAAACGGTTCACGCAGTCTCCAACTAGCTTTGAGTTCACTAAGTTTGATCTCAGCGCTAGTAGTGCTGCTTGACTATCAGAGTTTATGTAAATTTTATGGTTGACGTAGTGTTTTTGCAGATTAATTTCCGCACACCGAAGTATGGCGAAAATTTCTGCCTGGAAGATAGAGGTATATCTACCCAAATTCATACTAAATTTGAATTTGGGGCGTTCCCCGTAAATTCCAAAGCCTACGTCGAGGCCCATTTTAGACCCATCGGTATACCATATGAGGCTACCGACCTCACAGATAACCTGGCCATTCAGCCAGTCTTCTCTGGAGGGTAATTCCACTATATACTTTTTATAAAAACTGTATAGTGGACGCATGATATCTGAGATCATGCATAAGACCGGTGATTCCTTGAGTCGAGCATGCATCTCAATCTGTAGGAGAGCAAAGCTCAGACCGCCCTGGGCGTTAATCCTATACAAACTAGCCCTCGCCTCCTTGTCTAGATAGAGATCTAGGGGCGTTAGGCATAGAAGTGCATTAAGAGCCGCTCCAGGCGATGATCGCATAGCTCCAGTTGCCATTAGGCAGTCAGTCCTTTGTAGTATAGTATTTAGTCTGTCCGCAGTCGTCTTTTGGTTGGCCTTGTTACACCAGGCAATAGAGGCGTAGGTGAGAATCGGCCTCACTATGCTGCTGTACAGCCATAGGACCATGCTGGGACGCAAGCCCCAGTTGTTCCCGACCAAACGACTGCACGTACCTAAAGCAATTTTTGCCTTATGGCATACGTTGCTAAGGTGAGAGTTCCACGTTAGTTTTTGGTCGATTGTTACGCCCAAGTACTTAACTTCTGTGGAAAATGGTACTTCTTTGCCATTAAGTTTTGGTTGGACTAATTTGTCCAACCGTCTCTTTTTGGTAAAGGGTATTATAACAGTTTTATCAGCATTAACTGATAAACTGTTATCCCTACACCAGTTATTTATGGTGTTTAGGGCTCTTTGTATTATTGACGATAAAGTACTTTGGCAAAAGCCCCTTGCAATGATCACAAGGTCATCAGCATAACCCAATGTGTCAATGCGTAGGTCTGCCATTTTGTACAATAGTTGGTCAACCGCAAGAGTCCAAAGAAGGGGTGACAAAACACCTCCTTGTGGGCAGCCTCTAGTGGTTGCAACCTCAATCGAGGTTCGAAACAGCGCTATTTTTGCCTTTCTGTTTGAGAGCATCGACTTCACCCATCTGATGGTTGTGGGGTCAACATTTTTAGATTTTAGGCCCCCAATCAGCAGTGATGTGGGGCTACTGTCGAAGGCGCCCTCAATATCTAGAAAAGCACAAAGAGCTATTTCTTTATCCTCCAGTGCTTTTTCGACCCTGTCAATGACACTGATCAGGGCTGTTTCTGTAGATTTTTCTCTGCGGTAAGCATGCTGGTTGTAATGTATGGGCCTCGTAGCTAGAGCTACATCCCTTATATATCTATCTATAACCTTTTCCAATGTCTTAAGAAGAGAGGAAGATAGGCTTATAGGTCTAAAGGACTTTGGTAAAGCGAAGTCCTTTCTACCAGCCTTAGGTATAAATAGAACCTTGACATTTGTCCATCGTTCTGGAATATATCCCCATGCAAAACTTGATCTGAAGATTTTCACTAGATAAGGAAGAAGGATGTCGATACCGCTCTGTAGTTGGATGGGAATTATTCCATCCTCCCCGCTTGATTTGAATGGTTCAAAGGAGTCAACAGCCCACTGCACCAGGTTTGGCCTTATTATCTTTGCAGCCCTACGCCAGTCCTCATTGCAAGGCCTTTGTAGGGCTCTAAAAGAGTTCAAGGCTGAAGTTTTGTATGACCCTGGGAAATGGGTTGACGCTAGTAACTCCAATGTTTCTGTTTCACTATTAGTGAAGTTACCATCCGGCTTTTTAAGAAGCCCGATCTGATTAGGTTTAGCTTTCGCTAGCATCTTGTGTAGTCATGCACTGCGAGGCAAAGACTCAACTTCCTCGCATAGCTTCCTCCACGATGCTCTCTTGGCTTTCCTAATTTCTTTATTATATTCAGTTAGGGCTGCACTATAAATGTCCCACTCTTTGGTTTTCTTAGCCCTATTAAATAGTTTCCTGGTCTTTTCCCTAAGGTCTTTCAGCTTAGAATTCCACCAAGAAACTTTTCGTGTTGAGGTCTTGGTTTTGACGGGACAACTGTCCTCGAAGGCTTCACGGATACCTACGGTTACTGTCTCCGGTTACTAACTCCAGACCTTCAGTTGTTTTGATGCTTTTAGGAAACGTTTCCAAATTCCTCCTTAGGCTATCTCTATAGATATCCCAGGAGGTCGCTTTCGGATCCCTTAAAGTAACGGTTTCAAAGGATGGTGATGCTCCAATCACAAACTTAATGTGCTTGTGATCAGACATCGAGTTTTCGGTACTAACATGCCAGTCATTTATCCGCCTGGACATGTTATTGGTAGCAAAGGTTATGTCTAACACTTCTTGCCTAGCACGCGTTACAAAGATTGGTGTACAACCTAAGTTTAGGCTTACCAGACGGTTGGAGATGAGAAAATCATAAAATAACTCACCTCTTTCGTTGATGTTGGTGCATCCCCAGGCTGTGTGGTGAGCATTAGCATCACAACCCACCACAAGTTCGGCGTTGTGTTTTCGGGCGAACTCCGCCACTCGCTCTAACTCGATGGTAGGATCTGCGTTCTCGCCGGGAAGATAGGCTGAGCAAATGATTACTCTGGCCCCTGTGCATCCCTTGAGATTTATGAAGGCTGTAACCAGGTCATCATTGCAGTACTCTGGAACAGCTAAAAGTTCAATATTTTTATTATAAATTATACAAGCTCTGGGTCTACTGCCTTTGGTATTGACAAGAATCTTACCGGCATCCGCCAATCCCAGAACTTGAGCGTTGGCCACCCAAGGCTCTTGTATAAGGGCGAGGTCAATGTTGTCCTCTGCAAAGCAAACCTCCAGCACAACAAAAGCAGCTGCTGCATGGTGAAGATTTGCTTGGAAGACCCTCGTCTTACCCTTGGGTTTTGCCATTTATGGGCGTGGAGGGGCAGGAGTCTTTTCCGCCTGTTGAGGACGAGGACGTCCTTTTCCTGCGAACTTGACTCCCGCCTTACCTTTCTTCGAACCGCTCCCACCTCCCCTCCCCCCCGTCCCTGGACGACACTAGCGGAGGCGAAATCAGCGATTTGGGTCTTCGTCACTCTCACCGGTGGCGTTCCAGCCTCACCCCGAGAGGTGGAGGGCTGGGGGGGATTGGGGTTGGGGCTGGGACGGTTCGGGCTCCATTGCCGCGTGAGAGCCTCCAC